GTCCTGGGGGGGGGGGGGGGGAGCATATATATTTATATATACTATATATATATATGTATATTATGTGGTTATGTATATGTGTATTTATGTATATTTGTATATACGTGTGTATGTACATGCGGGTATATATGTGCATATGCGTACATGTGTATATGTGTTTGTGTGTGTACGTGTGTACGTGTTTATGTGTGTATGTGTATTTGTGTAAATATATGTAATTATATGTGTTTATGTCTACAGGTGCATGTGTGCAGGTGTGTAGCGTGTATGTGTACTTGTGTTTCTGTGTATATGTGTATATGTTTATGTGTTTATGTGTGTATATCTGTATGTGTGTGTGTATGATTGTATGCATATATGTTTCTATTATACGCACATATGTGTTTATGTGTGTGTTTATGTCTATGAAAATGTATGTATGCATTCATGTATACATGTGCCTATGCTTAAAAGTCTATATGTGTATATGTTTGTATGTGTATATGTCTACATGTGTGTCTGTCTATACGTGATGTGCATATGTGTGAATGTGGAAAGATGTAGATGTGTATATGTGTATATGTGTGTATGTGTTTCTGTTTGTGGGTGTATATGTGTGTATGCGTACATGTGTATACGTGTAGATACGTTTCTGTTTGCATATCTATGTAATATATATATATATATATATATGTATATGTATTTGCATATGTACGTATGTTTACATGTCTATGTGTATGTATGTTTTTATGTTTATATGTATGTTCGTATGTGATGTACATCTACATGTGTATTTGTGTCTTTATTTGTTATGTACATGCTTCTTTATCTGTGTATGTTTTTATGTCTCTATGTCTATATGTACCGATGTACATATGTACACAAGTGTATACGTATCTATGCATGTAATGTTTCATGCCCCCCTCCCCCGAATCATCCACCAGTTCTTGTCCAAATTATTGCGTGTGTTTTGCGCTGACTACTCTTCCCTCACTTAGTTGAAAAGGCTACTCTGTATGTGTGGCTGTGTATATTCTGATCCCTAGTAGTCTGCAGAAATAAAACAAAACAACAGATGCAATCAGGCAGTCCCGATGCATACCGGGTGTTGAAGTTCAGTCCACCCCTGCGGCCTGAAATAGGGCTGTCGGATTGAAGATTGATGATTCACTGGGAGGTTTTCTGTGAGATCTTCAGTCTTCAATGTTCAATCCCACAGCCCTGTTGAGTTCAATAGGCGTATTGAATTCAATAGGCTTCGCACTGCTGCACAAAGGCTCCATCTCGCCGTCTCTTCATGTCACTTATGCTAAACCCTGCGCTCTGAATTAACCCACTCGCTGAGCTCCAACCCCCGCAGCCCGAATGAAACTCAAATGCGGTTTAGGGTGAAACCTTCAGTGCCTGGCTTGTATTTAAAGCTGCAAACCTCAAAGCCCCGAAGCACCAAATCCTAAACTCCCAAAACGAGTTTCAGCTTCTTCAAACGTAAGGCTGCAAGGTAATAGAAATCAATACCACTGGGATGTACCAGCTTTTTTTTAGGAAATGTGTAGTACAGGATCACATACGACAGACGCCGACAAACCCTTGTGCAACTTCTACGCCGTGCATATAACTTCTTGCCACGAGCTACGCCATTCGTGCTCACAAATCCTTGGTGGGCCACTTTGCTTTTGAGTGCGGTAATATCTTTCTGGCTACGGGAGACGGCAGATACAGGGTTTCTGCACCTAACACGCACGTACATTCTTGTCAGGTTATTTCTCAACCATGTAGTAACAGCCGCAGCAACGACTACATCAAGACTGCAGCAATATCGCATAGTCGACTACATACTCAGAAGCACGAGCTTGTGCATTTGCGTCAGACTCAAATGGATATCACGTATCAAGTATACAGTGTCACCACTTGCACAGACCAATGCTGACCCGATGATCTCTGTACGCAGATGTGTACACACGCATGCAGGCACGTTCCAGATAGCATTGAATATAGCAGCGAAATCTTAATATCTTCGTAAAGAAAATATCTAGAACCAAATGCTTTTATGAATCCACGTACGCCTGGATTGTTAGTACTCATGTGTTTAGCTAGTTTGCATAGAACGCAGATTTTATGTTGCAGTTTGTGCGTGCGTGTCGCGTGTGGGACCTGCTGATATAGGCAGTCATGATGTGCAGGCAGATGCTGCATTTGGGAGGCTAGGAGGGCTAAGTTGAGACAAAAACACAAGAAGACAAGGAGCTGCATATATGCATATGTACCATGGACGACTCCCATAGTAATTTCGTGTGGCGCCGCCTCAATGTGTTTTGGGATTCCTTGTGTTTTGACTTGGGGTGCGTGTTTACTTTAATAGTCTCCGGTGCATAGTTTGGTGCCGATGGGTCGCCGCAATACTATATAAACATGCACGTAAACAGGTAGTAGCAACCGCAAAACTGACCGTCGAATTGAATTTTGGTATAGTTGAGTGTTAAAGTTAAGATCCTAGCAGGGGGTGTAGTGTAGTCCAGAGTTGTGACAGATCCCAGCAGAGAACTCGAAACATCATTGCAGGGGACCATGCACCTACAAAAGGGGCTGTTGTGGGGATTCTTGAGGGGTTTTACCTGTGTTCTTCATAGGATTCATCAGGGTTTTATGATGGATTTAGAAGGCTTCTGTAGAGATCTAGAAAGGTTCCGTAAACGACTTTGAAGGCTTCTATGAGTCACCTATACAGTGTATACTTTGGATGTAAAAGGTTGCTAAGAGGCCATTCTAGAGCTAATGTATATACGATACATGTACATGGACGTTCAGTGTTTAGGAGTTTCCTTATCACAAGGAATCCTCGCAGAGGTGCGCCGCGCCTACCTGTCAAGAAACCTCCAGTTAGTGCTACGAAGCCGTTCATCGTTTAAAAGGTGCGCCTGCCGTGAGGACCTTTTCTATCGCATTCTTGAAGCAATAAAGGCGACTGTCAGTTCTTCTCTGAAACCCTTGGTCTTTCGGAGGGTCGCATATATGGTACCCCCCTGAAAAGACATACAATAATTCCCAATCTATGGTCTTTGGGGATTTTGGGGCATGGTACCAGTCCCAATCCCTCCGTACAATCGGTGAGATCTTCAATCCGGGATGCATTGCAGCCCGGGCAACGGGCCAGTTCGATCATTTCCACTCAAACAGGGTGGAGCTGGGGCGGGGTGGGGTGGTAGCATATGTAATCATATATGATCCCGGTTCTCGGTTCGCCCCCCCCCCCCAATGGTATCCCCCCCCCCCCCCCCCCACCCCCTCCCACCCACTCCCCAAGCCGAATCTGTGTGACTGCGCACACTTTTTGCACGTGCGGGCCCCATAAACCGTCATCTGTCACGAGGATCGCGCCCCAAAGACGCCGGATCCGTGTGAGGCCGCCAAAACCGCCAACTGTCACGAGGACTGCGTTCCCTGACGGGCCCGATCCCTTTGACAGTTGGCCGATTGCAACCTTTTGGCAAGTGCCCCCAAAGCGACAACTGCCACGAAGATAGTGGCCCTACGATCAACAAAGCGATAATCAGTACCAGGCACGTGGGCAGAAGACACCCGACGACAAACCAATCAAACATTAAGATGCTTGAGTTAATGATGATGGTGATCATCGTCCCCATCATCATCATTATTATCATCATAGGGATGAGTATACCAAACACCCAAAGCAAACCTACAAACCTAAAACGCAGGGGCACACCATTCCACAGGGGGGAAGGGGGGAACCACCCCAACCAGACCCACCCCCGCCCACACCACACCACAGGGAGGGGGCAGCAACCCACCACCACACCACACTACAAGGGGGGGGGGGGATGGGGAGGAACCATTGGGGGGGAGGGGGGTGGGGACGGCCGAACCGGGATCATATATGTTGACATGTATTTATGGTTTGGCGTATATAGGTGTATATGTATATATGTATGAACGTACATATGTACTTATGTAGGTAAGTAGAAATGTAGATAAGTGGATGTGTATCTATGTATATGTGTATACATGTATATATGTATATATGTTTCTATGTATATATGTAAACAGGTATATATATATACGTATTTTTTTATCCACACACGATATCAATCGATATGCATGTACGTATACGTATACGTATACGGTCGTATACTTGCACAGATAAATATACCTATACACGAACATACACATACGCATATAGAAGTATACACATGTACACATATATACATGAACACATAAACAGATACACCTTTGAACATATACACATATACACATATGCACATATGCACATATAAACATACACATATACACATATGAGCATATACAGCTATGCATATATACCTATTCCTATATACCTATGTACATATGTACATACATACACACCCAAATACATAAATACATGAAAACGTATGTACATAGATAACCATATACACATATACACACTTAAGAACAACAATGCATAATTACATATGTGCAAATCCACATACATAGGCATATACATATTTACATCTATACACACACACATATATATATATGTATATATATATGCATATATACATATTTAGTTTTTATTGCAGGAAGCAGCCTCGTGATAGCTCCTCTTTTCAGAAGCTAGGCCCGGAGTGAAAGAACACAGAACAGTCTGGTGTTTTGGACTGTTGTGGTTCATGTCTGCAGAGCTCCGTGAGCCTGAATCGTATTCGTGCCCGTGGTGTGAACGCATTCTGTCGTTTAGTTCTCGAAAGTAGCATTTACCAGATGCACAGTCAGGAAGGCATTGTTTGCTGATTCGATTGAAGACAACTGTTTGTGCTAGTCTGTAATTGACATGCGGGTTTGTGCCCTTCAATCCGTCTGCAGGTTGCGCTTGGCGAGAAAACCGCGTGGAAACGGTTGGCAGCGAGTGGGTGACAAGGCCTCGGTGAGCTGGGTTTCGTTGCTGCCATAGGATGTCTTGGGCGGTAGGCAATGCTTGCGAACACGAACAGATGAGTGCGTGGTTGTAGCCCTTTGGTTCGGAAGCCATGTTCGTTCGTATTGCGTTGCAGCTTCGAGGGAGGCGGCGATTCGCACAAAGTTTAAGCAGATGGCAGCACTTCCTCGACGAGCTGGATGGCAAAGGGGCCAACGAATGCTTTCCCGTGCCTGAGCAGCGATAGTTCTCTGTGGTACGACGGTGTACATGAAGCTCGGTAGGAACGCATTGGGGAGCCCAAAGCCTCCCGAGTAAGCGCCTGTGCAGGATCTTGCGAGTTACAGCCGCGCCGTGCAGTCGTGTGGCAGAGCCAAGAGATGGGACTGTGCATTGCAGCTGCTGTCGTCAATACAAAAACAAGGAATCGATTCGATGTTCTGCACGACCGTCATTGGAGCCTGCCGGCATGCAGCGGCATGGGAACCAGCCGTGGCCATATTGCATCAACTGGAGACGGGTGCTTTGGGAATTCAGCCAACGGTACACCACTACGGAGCGGTCGCCAGCTGCCTGGAGTTTGTCGGGAACTGGGAAAAGGCCCTGGCCTTGACGCGATCGTTGCAGTCCCATGGACTGATGCCTAGCGTGCAGTTCTGCGGGGCCATTATTACCGCGTGTGAGAAGTCCTGTCAGTGGGAGCGGGCCCTTTCGCTTCTCAGGCTCATGGGCGAATTGGCCGCAGGTCCCGATGTTATGGCATTTAACACGTCTATTGCAGCTTGCGGAAAGGGTCGACGATGGAAAGATGCCGTGTTGCTCTTGGCAGAGATGTATGCTTCGGAACTTTTACCTTCTGTGGTGACGAATAGCATTGCCTGGTGCTCAGCCGGTCTGAGTTTTGCTTTTGGTTTTTCAAAGCGACTGCATCAAACTGTGAGGCCTTTGCTTCGCACGGTTCGACTGAGGTCATGAGTGCTCTGGAGAGATCAAGGCAGTGGATGCTGGCTGTTATGATCATGGATGGAATTCTTGCCCGTGGGTTGGAAGCCGATTACATCACATGGAATTCGGTTATCAGTGCGTGTGAGTCGGGTTCGCAGTGGGCGCAGGCATTGCGCATGTTGCACAGAGCACGCTTGTGTTTCGTTGCAGACCCGAGTGGCATGCCGCAGAACCTGAAGCGTGGCACGAATTCGGTCATAAGTGCCTGTGGTAAAGCAAGCCGATGGCCTTTGGGAATCCAACTTCTGCGCGTGATGCGAGAGGATGGACCTGATGGAGACCAGGAGCCTCGCAAGAAGCCGGCCAGGCACATGGACATTCTCTGCTTCAACTCTTTGCTGCTTCAGATGAATGGTGCCCACTGGAAGATTGCGGCATGCCTGCTGCAAGAGATGATCCTTCTCAAGCTTTCATCGGATTTGACGACGTACAGGGGTTGTACTGCTGTTTTCCAGGAAGGCGCCTGCCACAGTAGATTCTGGTATCAAATCACCCAGTCTGCTCTTGAGCTTCCTCGAGCCCTTCGCTGTGTCGAACGATTCCGGCAGGAGGAACATGCCATCGAAGTGGCGCTGACTGCAAGCCGACTGCGAGGGCTACACTGCTTGCCCCTTCATACGGATCGGATGATCCAACGCGTCGTCGAGGCTCCGGCCATGGCCTCCTTGTCGCGCCTTTCGCACCGGTCTGCTACACGGCTGCTCAGGACTTGTTTTTGTGCTTTTGCTATGCTCGACGTGCAAATAACCACTTCCTCTACAAGTTGCGCTATGTGGTCAGATAGTGTCATAGTAAGGTTCGGCATCTTGCGACATGCTCTCCTCAACGTCGTGTGCACGACAAAGTGCTTGGAACCTGCAGCAGTATTGGTCCAGACTTTGTGCGCTACTGCTTGGAAACTGGAAGCGTGATTGTATTGCAAAGACACTTGGTTCGCTGATGAAGGGATGCAATACGGGAGAACTTGGTATTTATTTCCCTGTTTTGGGACCACCCATATCTCTGAAGTGGGTGTGGGTGCAGAAAGTGCCGACACTCATTGGCACCTTCCGCGCGGGTCCAGTTGATTTGTGACCTGAAGATTCAAGATTCGCACATGCTCACATGAGCAGGTACAGAAAGCCGGAGCAAGTGCCGCCCTGTTTCAGGGAGTCCCCAGCTGGGATTTTTTGGGTGGGCAGGGCCGAAGGCAGGAAATCCTGACTCGTGAGCAAGAGCTAATTAGTTGGCATCAGTTGTAGCTTGTGACGTTGCTTTCTCTTGACCGCCCTCGCTTGTGGAAAGGACCTCAGGGTCTGGGAGGCCGTGGACCATGTTCCGACATGTTAACCAAAACGCTCTAGCAACACGCTATGACGAGTCCGGAGTTTTCATTTTCATTCGGTGCAGGGCTTTGCTTATGTTGCAAGTTTATTTGTGGACTGCAGTAGGCACCACCCCCAAAGAATCCACGTCTGTTCTTGTTTGCAGGAGTTCTTCAAACACTGCAGCGCTCCAATGGCTTTCGATCCCGTGAAGGGTCGCTACTTGAAGATAGACGCCGAAACAAACTCGCGTCTCAGCACAAAGCTTGTGTTTTCCGACTTCTGCAGCAGGGTGAGGTTGTCGTATGGGCTTTCAGGGCAAACAAAAATTGCAGAAGCAGGTATACCGATTGTGATGTTCCTCACGATCCCATCGAGTACTCGGTGTCGGTGAGCGTCGGTGCTTCGTTGGTTGGACAGACTGACGAGGCCAGAGGGCGTTTGAGAGCGATGGTAGCAGCTGGCCACACCCGACTTCAGGATCTCAATGCGCCGGACAGGCCCAGAACCATGCTCCTCAAGGCTGCAGCTATGTGCCATGTTGACAGAATGCTTGGCAGAAGACTTGCAGAGCATGCAGGAACTAGTCAAGACTGGTGCTGCCATGAAGACTCCGCTGTTCTTCCTGGACCAGAGACTTGGCCGAATGAGCATGCAAGCAAGATGCAACTGACAGGCACAGCAGAAAGTGTTTCCGGGCCAATTCTTCGGTTCGGACACCGAACTCGGTCCCCATGGGCAGCTACTCGTAGGCCGTCGAGGCATTGGTGCTTGCAATATCGTGCTAGAGCTAAGATCAGCTAAGCACAGTGCACCCTGCCCTACAAAGCGGAATCGTTTGACTGCGTTTTGGCTTTGCCAGCTTGTTGGTCATGCAGCCTACAAGAATGCAAACCCTTGCATCAGCTCGTAAAGATAGAGTAGCCGCAATGCCATCTGCATCTCATAGAGTCTGCCCTAAACTCGCGGCTTGTTTGGCCTGTGGTGTGACAAGGTTCTCCGCCTGAGAAATACATCCCGTAGACACTCAAGGACTCCTCGACAGTCCGCAAATACGAAGGTGAAAGGTGGCCGAGAGGGAAGAGCTCGAGAGCAGACAGTCGTTGGAGTGCTATGCAAACTCTAAGAAGAAGTCTGTGCGCAAAGAAACCAATGCCTTGCAACTTCATGAGTAGGCAACATCTCCTTTGCGACAAGTTCGAGTCCAGCCGAAGCTGAGCCGAACCATACCACATCTTTTTGGCAGCATGTCCCGGCATTGTCGTCTGGCCACTAGAAGCTCGATTATGGCGTAGTGCCGAGCGGAGCAGCAGCTGAACCTACTTGTAGCGAGTTGCAATACTCTGATTTTTTCTCAGAAGAGGCAGCGAAAGGCCAGCACCGAAATCTCATGACTTCATGAAGCCGCTAACCTTGCTGACAGAAGGCCGGCGGCGTGTTTTGCAATGTTTGACGGGGTGCGTGGTTGGGACCTTACCAGAGCAAAGCTGCTGTGCTGTCCCGCATGAAGTCGGGCCTTAGGTGGAGCAGCTGTGGAGTGGTGTTCGAAACATTTGCACACCAAGCTCCTCCCACAACTCAGTGCTCGGAGCTCATGCAATTTTCTTGGCGTTGGCCTTGCTTTAGTGTGCTGGTTCCTCCAGGCGTCGATCACTTACTGGCATGATGCGGACCTGAGGTTGGCCTGAGCTCAGCCCGGCAAACTTCGACAAAGGATTTACCATGTCTGCTCTGGTCCAGGGGACTCCTTCGTTCCATTCTGGCGGAGCTGGATGCAATTGCCTCGGGCATTCTGGAGTTGTCCGCCACCTTGCTTGACGGCGGACATTGTTTGAGGTCCAGCTTGTGCAGCAAGCCGGTTGCTGCTGGGAAGGTGTTTCCATCGCGGTGGCTCCTGACTCAATGCAGAGCAAGTCTCATGAAGAGGTTGTCTGCCGCTTCAGCAATTTTGAGGCCTTGCTGCTCGGAGATCGCTTAGTCGTCACGGCCTCAAGATCGATTAGCTTTGCGAAAAGGGCGGTGTCTGCGGCAGGTAGCAAGTTTGGGTGGAACCCATGCCTTGGTCGCATGCTCGATTACACTCGTCGCCGATGAGCATAGAGAGCACAAGCGATTCCCCGTCTGGGCAGGTTGCTGCCCCAGACGGCCGCTGGCGGTCTTTGGATGGGAGACATGTGGCATCTTCAGCAGAGGAGCAAGCTCGCAGCAAGGTGCACAGGGAAGGTTAGAAACATGCCCCATGGCAAACTCGATGGCGTACAAGAGGCGCTTGGTGCGGAGATTGTCGGAGAAGAAAAAGGTAAAGGAGTCGTCGGTGCCCCTTGTGTCGGGATGCCCAGCAGCCGTGTCGCGAACCACACACTGCATGAACTAACGAAGTTTGATGCGAAGGTGCAGAAGTCGGTGAGATCAAGAGACTGGCAAGTTGTTGAAGATGCCACTGCAGAGGAGGAGGTTCAGCCGGCGTTTGAGATAGCTCGTCGGAGTTCGAACGTCTTGTGTCGGCATGTGCCGAGGTCACGAGAGTTCTTGACCGCACATCGGACTGCTTCGCTACACTGGGTCTTGGACCAGAGGCAGCCTCTTGGGTAGAGTATTGTTGCAGTTTGCTTCGCATGTTGTGCATCACGGCCGGGTATGAAGGACAAGATCGACGGCAAGGCAGCTCGCTCCTGCTACAAAAAGCTGGCCCTCAAGGTGCTTTGATGTGCCTTGCGTTAGCTGTGTGGTCCGGATCCTTTGCGTGCCTGACGAGATGTTACGGCGACAATTGTCTTTCGCTAGCATCCAGTGCACAGCCCTTGTTCTCGAGCAATGGGTGGAGGGAGAGGAGGGGGAGACCAGTCGGGCATATTCGAGTGTTCCTTTCTTTTCAGCAAGTTTGGTCGACGGTTCCATCGTGGTCTCAGCTTGCGGGCATTGTTTGTCTGATTGGCCGGATGGTCTCGAGGGTTGCAACCCTGACAGCATTGCGCATGGCTGCGCATAGCTCTCTGCGCGATGGCCTGTGGCCAACAAGAGTCTGTAGCCGATTGTGTCTGGGGGAGGCATTCAAATAAGCCCGGCTTACTTCGGGATTGCGCACCGTGGTCGTCATGTTGCAGCGATCGAGTCTCGCTACGTGCACGGCAAAACTACTGTATGAAGCTTCCACCATCATGATGTGCACCATGGTGGAGCATCCGTCGACGTCCCAAAAGTGTAAACGAAACATGGTCGCCGGATTGGAGTGGTGTTCTACGCAGTTCTGAGATGCATGACAAGTTGAATGCAGTTAGGACCCACCCACATATTCACACTCACACTCACACTCGCACTCACACTCACTCTTTTTTGTGTTGGGAGCAGGCCATGGTTGATGACCTGCGCTAGATGTAAAGCTTGCTGTGAGTTACTATTGATGGCTGTTCAGGCCGTTAAATGCATGTTGGCCGAAACGCTGCTAATCTTGCCAGCCGGCAAGCGGCCATGCTGGATACCAGCTTAGGTACTCCACTGACATAGCAAGTACAGGAAGGCACATCCGCCTGCCTTCCCTACTGGCGCCAGTAGGAGTCGTTACCCGAAGTGGGGCGCAAGTCATGTCTGCTGCATGAAAACTGAGAAGCTTCTGGTGCAAACGGGTCCTGAATTCATGCAAGATGTTGGGCGCGACCCCCTGCTTTCAACGAGTTTGTGAGGCCAACAGAAACATCATGACCTCTGCCTTCGTGCTGGTTTGAACTTCGACATTTTGGACATAGTCAATGTCTATCATCGAGGTGTCCCTTCCGTTTGAGCAGCTCTTGACAAATGCCTCAGATACCCATGTGGCACAACTCCCAAAGAGCTAGCTCCCGCATCGATTTCATTCTTTTCTCTCTTCCGAGCACGTCTCACCGTTGGACAAGGTCCTGGGGTCGGATCATTGCGCGACTATCGTGACTCTTCAGCACAAGCGACATTTAGGATGATTAGGACAGGGAGATCCAATATGCCTCACCTTTTAAAATGAAGCCCAATAGGGTATATCCCGGTAAAATGTTTTTTGTATCGTCATTTCTGCCCCCCCCATTCCCATCAACCCTGCCCCCCCCCCCCCAACCAGGCCCTGCCCCCACCCCCCCCGGACCCCCTCCCCCCGCTCACACCCACCATTCCTAGGACCAAGACGGCCCCAACAGCCCGGACAGCCCGGACAAGCCAGAGGAAGCCCGGACAGCTACAGCTACGATGATCAGCAGCCCGGAAAAGCCCACAGCAAGCCCGGACAGTGATCCGGACAGTGAAGACGATCAGTAGCCCGGACAAGGTCACAAGAAGGCCGGACAGTGACGACGATGGCGTGACAGGAGGCCCCATCAGCCCGGACCACCCCACAGGCAGCCCGGACAGCGACGATGATCAGCAGCCCGGACAAGCCCACAGCAAGCCCGGACAGTGACGACGATAGCGTGACAGGAGGCCCGGACAGTCAGGACGATCAGCCCGGACAACCCCACAGGCAGCCCAAACCAGGGCCCGCACAGCCCGGACAAGCGCACAGGAGGCCCGGACAACAGCCCGGACAGCGACGATGATCAGCAGCCGGATAAGCCCACATGAAGCCCGGACAGGGACGACGATCAGTAGCCCGGACAGCCCGGACAGCGTGACAGGAGTCCCGAACAATCACGACGATCCTGACAGGCAGCCCAAACCAGCCCCCCCCTCCACCCACTCACACCACCACTCTGAATTCCTTGGGCCCGGACACACACACCCCGAACAAACCACAAAAACCCGGACAACACAATGAACAGCAGCCCGGACAGCCCGGACGAGCCCATAGGAAGCCCGGACAACGACGACGATCAGTAGCCCGGACACCGGACGACAGCCCGGAACAGGAGCCCGGACAGTCACGACGATCAGCCCGGACAACCCCACACGTCACGTTGTTTGGGTTCTTTGCCGCTGCCCTCCAAATACATGTGTTATATATATATATATACATGTGTGTGTATAGGTATATTTTGGTTTATAGTTATTTAGCTATATAGTTATATAGTTGTATAGGTATATAGTATATAGGTATAGAGGTATAGAGGTATAGAGGTATATTGGTACACATTTTTCCAGGTATATATGTTTCAATGTAGGAGTATAGGGTACAAATATATATATATATATATATATATATATATATATACATACATACATACATGTACATATACATATATATATATATATATAGAGAGGCTTTCTGTATATATATATATATATATATATATACGTGAACCCTCTCTCGGAAAACGAAAACCCTGGAGTAAACCGCACAGGAACCATCGGCCGAAAACGAAAACCCTAAGGAGTAAACCCCAAGGAGTGAACACCCAAGACGAAAACGAGAACCCTAAGGAGTAAACCCCAAGGAGTGAACACCCAAGACGATAACATTTGGGAGTGCATCCAGCAGTAACCTATGTCCAAAGATATGAGCCCTAGGCGCTACAGGAGTCAATGCCCAAGACGAAAACCCTAAGGATTGAATCCAGCAGGACCCCTTTTCCGAAGACGAAAAACTTAAGGAGTAAGTCACGCAAGAACCTTAGGTCGAAGACCAAAACCCTAAGGACTAAACCTTAATGAGTGAATACCCAAGCCGATAAACAACCTTTTATTCCTAAACACGAAAACCCTGAGGAGTAAATCGCGCAGGAGCCTTTGGCCAAAGACGAAAACCCTAAGTGTCTAGCTGTCCGGGCCTGTCCGGGCTTGTTCGGGCTTTCCGGGCTGGTATCCGGTTGTCTGTCCGGGCCTCCGCCCCTAACCTGTCCGGGCCGGTTGGGTGTCCGGGCGTCTGCGGGCTGTCCGGGCCACCTTTTCCTCAAAACCCCCCCAAGGTCCGGCCCTGTCCGCGCCACCTTTTCCCGAAGACGACAAGCCCAAGAAGTGAATCCAACAGGAAACTTGAACCCAAGACGATAAGATAAGCTCGAAGGAGTGAGTGCCCAAGATGAAAACCCTAAGGAGTGAATTCAAGCGTTTTTTATCAAAGCCGAACACGGTAAGGAGTAAACCGCGCAGGAACCATCGGCCGAAAACGAAAACCCTAAGGAGTAAATCCCAAGGAGTGAACACCCAAGACGAAAACGAGAACGCTAAGGGAAAAAAACCCCAAGGAGTGAACACCCAAGACGATAACCTTCGGGAGTGCATCCAGCAGTAACCTTTGTCCAAAGATATTAGCCCTAGGCGCTAAAGGAGTCAATGCCCAAGACGAAAACCCTAAGGATTGAATCCAGCAGGACCCCCTTTCCGAAGACGAAAACCCTAAGTGTCTAACCTGTCCGGGCTTGTCCTGGCTTGTCCGTTGTCCGGGCTTGTCCGGCTGTCCGGGCTTGTCCGGGCTGTCCCGGGACAGCTTGTCCGAGCTTGTCCGGGCTGTTGGGGCTGTCCGGGCTTGTCCGGGCTTTTGTCTGGGCTGTTTGGGCTGTTTTGGCTGTCTGTGGGGGGGCGCAGATGATGGAATTCGGGGGGGGGGGGGGCAAGTGATTGGGGGCCCAAATGTTTATGCTTATTTCATTTGTGGGGCCACTAATGCAGTCACTTCAAAAGTTAGGCAGGCATATGTTTCGAAATGGCAAGTGGTGGACGGATGCCCTTGCCTTCATGGCGAGCTGTGGCAAGCTTGCTGAGGATCTCGAGTTCGGCATGCTCGATCTTCAAATGAGTGATGTACAACAGCTTGCGAATGCGTGCTCCCACCGAATCACCAGTTGCAGATATTCTGACTCTCCAGAAATCAAATTGCTCAGAAACGACGAGTGGCGAAGGGGAGAGCAGGCCGTGATTTGGCAACAAAAGCTTGCCGATGCACGAAACAAAGCCAAGGAGGAGAGGCTTGCCCGCAGCTGCGAGCTGACAAGGAGCAGCGGCCATTTTCCTGCACTGTCGCATGAACCTAAGGAAGCACAAGTTCTTTGCATGTACGAAAGGCTCGTACTGTGCGAGAGCAGGGGAGTGTGCAAGGCGATTTCAGGCCTGCGAATAGACACCCAGCGAAAGTTCGTTACAAGGACTGGCCATGGCTATGTTTCACCACAAAGCAAGGCTCCCTTTCGATCCTTGGCGATGGACTTTAGATACCATGACAACAAAGCGCAGATGGGATTTCATACGAGGCCATCCAATTCTTGTGCAGTCGGGCAGCTAGGACTACTGTACAGGCGACGTTCTTCGCGGGCTTAGGCCCGTTCATATATCTTGGCTAGTGAGCCATGTCACTTTCCTGCCGAAAATGGCATGCCCCACATCGCCCGCTGATCTTAAACTTATTGTCTTGTCAAGGGTGGCCATGGTTTGCACCAACGCTCTCATGCTGCTCTGACGGCCCAAAGTACGTAGCATCAGGTTAGTGGCATCCCGGGCCCACAAAGTCACGGCATTTGCCGTCTAACAAGCCGGGCGCCTAGCTTAAGAATACGTTCGCCGGCATATAGTTTTGAAGTTGCACGTCATTGCGGCTTTTGACAGCATCTCACAGGAAGCGGTGGCAGTTTTTATGGCATCAAGTAAAGGGGTTAAAGCAGCAGAACTACTCTTTGAAATCATCGTGAAGATCGCAATGTGTCTTGGTCGTCAGGGAACCGAATGGGTTCAACAGCTGTTCCAAGGTATCCTCCAGTGGTGCAGCTACTCAGACGCGATTTTCCCAGGAGCGTCGATTTCTTCCTCACTCTCACTAACGATGCTTGGCAAGTGTCCGAGGACGCCTGGCTACCGGACAATTGGCTACAGGACACCTTCAGGTCATAAGCCCGGACGATCTGATCCTCTTGGGCTTGGGCACTTCCTACACAGAGGTCCAGCGATTCCGGCACGACCTTGATCGGACTCTGGCTCCGGGACCGCCACAGGGAAGAGCAGGCTGTCTACCAACTCTTGAAGGCAATAAGGCAGGTGCAAAAGGAACTTGATACCGAGTACGTGCGCCGCTTCAGGAAAATGTTGCACGCCATTCGTAGGCCGGCAGGCAGGACCTCCACATCGAGCGCGACGTAATGAAACAATCAAACGCATGCCTTCGCGTCGATATTCCTATGCCAGCTTGTCACAACGCACGAAATTGGCACCCCAAAAGCAACGCTTTTCAACGGCCTGGAAAAGCTTTGGCCTGCTGGCAGTCCACGCGGCTCAATCTGGATAACTCGTGATTTGGGCATCAAGATGGCTATATTGGCTATATCTTCCTCGGTCTTTTTGTCTGTCTGTCTGTCAGCCAGCCAGCCAACCGCCAGTCAGTCAGTCAGAGCACCACGGCCAGAACACGCTCTGCTTGCAGAGCTGCCGTAAAGTGGCCGGTGCCCCATGCCCTGGCGGATGCTCTGAACTCATCTGCTCCGTCCGAGCCATTCCTTGTAGGCCTTGGGCCTCGCAGAAGCTACACCCTCAATTGGGATATCAGCCCCTCGCGCTGATTCTTGTCCCTTGGACTCCGCCAAGCCCCTGCAGCCGCTACATGGCTCTTGATGACCGCCTCGATCGGACTCCGCCAACCTTCTGCAGCCGTTGTATTCATGTCTTCCTTTTCTTCGAGGATGCCCAGATGAGGACTCAAAACCTTGGCCGGTTTGGGCTAGACAACATCTCTGCTGAAGTGCACAAGGTGCCTCCTCACTGCGACGGCTTTGATCCGTAGCGGTTGGGGGATCAACGTCATGCGGCTGTGTCGGGAAATCTGGGGGCTGTTTCACCAAAGCAGCGGCTTTGTCCAACGCAGGCCTGAAGACGACTCCCGCGTGAGGTTTGTGCGTGTGTGTGTCGGCACATCCCAGTCCACCTCCTGCAAGAATATAATACAATCAAGGCAGAAAGGGTGGCTGCCACCAGTCTGGGGATCCCTGCTCAGTGGTGATCACTTGACCGGTGTGCCTCGGAACCCAGTTTGTCGCGCCACTGCGTGCAGTGCGGCAGCATGACCGTCCACATCCTTAACATCGTCGTCATGCACGTTACCAAGTTGCCTTCCTGTGCTGCCGGCCCGGTGGCACTCGCCGCTTCCGGAACTGCTTCCCTTGGCCTTGGCTCCTTGGAATGCTCATCAAGACAGCTGACATGAAGGCCAGGGCTGAGAAAGCCAAAGCCGCCGATTCGGCTTGGGATCTTTGGCTTTATGAATCAGCATGCCCAACACTTTTGGCGGTATGGTCCCGGATCCAAGCAAGCAGCTGCCGTAGCTGTGGTTTTCCAAGCTCCTTGATCCAGTGCGGCCTTGAGCCACTTGCTCTTTCTCTCTTTCTCTCCTTCTCTCACTCTCTCTTTTTCTCGCTGTTTCTCTCTTTCTGTCTTTCTCTGTTTCTCTCTTCTTCTCTTCTTCTCTTTCTCTCGTTCTCTCTTTCTCTGTTTCTCTCTGTCTCTCTTTCTCTCTTTCTCTCTGTCTCTCTGTCTCTCTGTCTCTCTGTCTCTTGCTCTCGGTCTCGCGCTCTTGCGCTCTCTCGCTCTCTGTTGTACAAGCCACTGGCCAAGCTGTTGATGGATGATGTTGAAGGATCGGGTGATTGATGGTGATCTGTGGGAGGCGTTCAATTTCAACAGGCGTGCACACAGAATGATCAGCTTTCACTGTTCTTACGAGAACTGGCCTTATATATATGCCGGTGCAAATCACTGATAGCGCTGAGTTGAGATTTGGCGAAGACTGTACAAACAGTGCGCGCGGCCTGAGAAAGCGAGATCTACGAATGTCTCCAATGAGATCATTGGTTCCGCTTGCGAAATGACCACTTGAGTGATTTGAATGGGTTCATGATAGTGTATTGGTGCATTGCAGCAACACTTGCGGCTGAATGTTCGTAGAGTTAACACTTTCACTGAAGCTTTTGAGATTGTGTACAATTACACAAAAAGTAGACATCTGACTGTGCTGAGCTGCAGAATTAGCACTCAGGGTCAGGCCGACATGGAGATTGGTGCATTGAAAGGAAGGAAAGGAAAAGGACACAAAAGAAGTAAAGGAATGTACAAAGGAAAAGGAAAGAGAGCGGTCGACAGTGCGCCCTGGGTTTGGTTTTAGTATTTCTTATAGGAGCTCGTGTTTGTGTGGCGTGTAAAGCACATACCACAAAGCAAGCATCATAAGTCATAAGTGTTTTTCGGAACGGCCTGTTCGAGCTGTGCAAAATCGCTCTCCAACAAGTCCCAAAACGGTGTGTAGGTTGAGCCTCGTAGTCTGGGTTCTGGTGCAGCAGATCTTACAACCAGAAAACGCTGTAAATATTGATGATTTTGCGACTCTTTAAAGCACGTCTTAAGGTATGCTACACACGCTCGACAGTTTCCCTATGCAGCTTTGAACCTCTGGCCTTTAAGGCTTTGGACTGTCTACCCGATGCAAGCCTAGCCAACACCGCTGTTGGTAACAGTGTTTGAGAACACCAATCGAGAGATTCACTCTTATCAGCTGTCGAATTGCATTGGCATAGGGTTAACGAATATGCCAGGCAGCGAAACAATCCCCGAGACCATCGAAATGGAGATTACTGTGTTCCTGGCTAAGCTGGCCAGCCACAAACATATTGAGCTCCGCTCTTGACTACGAGCCCCCACTGCATCCAAACCTCCGTCCGCCTCCAATGGCCGCGGCGGGAGGCAGGGAGTTGAACTAATCATTAACATAAGTTCTTCGCCGACTGGCCCGTGTGGCTGGGGATTGGGTCCTCGAAATGTACCTGGCCAAGTTTGAATAATTTGATATTCTTGATACATTCCTAGCCTTTGATGCCATCAGCCAAGAAGCACTTGGTGCCCAGATTGCACACGACGTTTCTCCAACGGGGGACCGAGCAGAGGCGGCAAAATCAAGCAGATGAGACGAACAAATTTTCCGTCGGATGCATTCAAGTGCCACAGTCTACTGGCGTTTGCCATAGCTCGCCGGACAGTCCATTAAATTTGGTCGGATGGTATCCAGGGACCTTGAGCACGCAACCATATTTCAATCCTAAAGACGGAAGCCCAAAACTGCCATTCGACCCCTTGAAGACGGGGGCGCAGTCATTTGGTCCGTGAACGAGAGGCATATGCAGGCCATGCGGCGACAACCGACACCTCGAAACAATCTCCCACACAAAGGAGTGGATATCTACCCATTCAAGATGGAGATTATTGACAACCAATCTGGGGGAACCGCTTCTGAGGTTGCTGGAAGAAAGGCACCATCCCAACTTCTACATACAGATACTGTCGATGCTCAAGTCGACATGGGCCCCACAGAACCGCGGTAGGACGCACAACTGTACGACGTGCACGATTTGTTTTCACCAACACGATAGGTCGCGATGGTCTTTCGTTATCCTATCCCAGATTTGGGGGCTCCACGGGCATGTCAGTCGCAGTCGCGGCGATGAAGTTGCGTCAGTCGGCCTGCCTTGGGCCCTGCTGGCTGGTTTCCTATAACCATCAACCATCAAGCCCAGAACACTGCATGGTCTTGTGAACCGTGCAGCCCGAGCATCATGACATTCAGCCACAAGGTTTCTGGAGCGCAGGGAGCACATAATCGTCCAACAGGTTGCCATTGTCGATCACATTCTCGGACCGTAAGCATTCCAGGTCATCTCTGACAGCCACGCGTTCGATGCGTTCGTAAAGTGCTGTCGCTCCGTCCCAACCATTTGTGTTATGATTCGATGACTCGCTAGGTGCATCCAGACAAGGCCCCGGAGGAGCTTAAGGCACTGGCTGGCCAGATCTGTCCACGCATCCGCTTCGTGAGTAGGTGGTAGTACAGGCACGAGCCAAAGCGGCTTTTGAAAAAGTGGAGAAGGCAGCTGCAGACGTTGAAGCGTATGGCCAAGCTGCCTCCTCGCCATTGTTTGCTCCTGCTGCTGCTGAAGACTCAGGCATTCTGCGAAACGGATGTAGAAGCGACCGAATGCCTCCATCGCATCCTCCATGCTGCCTGCGGCTCAAGCGACGAGAAGCCTGTGCAAAGCCAAGTGATGCAGCTGTCAGTCAGGCCGGGCCAAGAAGAGCCTCCATGATGCGAGCCATGGGCTTGGGTACCATGCGTTCATCCCGTACTCTTGGCCAGCCAGATGCCTTGGATTGAGAGAGCAAGAAAGAAAGAGAGAGAGAGAGAGTGTGTGTAGCGGGTGAAACCCCTACACCCCTGGCGAAAGAAAGAGAGAGAGAGAGAGAGAGGGCGGGCACCCCTGCTACCCTACTGTTACCTATCGCCGGGGCCTCAGCTGTCGTTCGCGTGTGTGCTTGCCTCCCTGTGAGCCTGTCGTAGCCCAACTGAGAGTAGACCAGAGCAAGAAGAGCTCACAACAGGGGGGACACAGTCACCCAACCAAAGCCTTCTCAAAAAAGGGGGGCATACAGAGCCGTCCAGAACCAATAGCTCACTCGAGCTCAGACGAGGCCAGGGGGTTATAGTAGGTAAATTAAAGGGGGGATTGCGGTGCAGACCAGGCCCTCATCTGGCATGTCAGTTTCACAAGGGCATGAGACCTACCCAGTGCGCGGACACGCGCGAGCGCAGCGTGCTGCGCTTTGGCTGTGTGCAAGCAAGGGCGGGCACATACATACATACATACATACATGCATACATACATACATACAAATAAAAATATGTATATACAAACTCTCTCTACATATAGTTTTCACTTCCCTCCACTGAGATGCGGTCTACCATGCTGTACAATCTGGAACCAATTCTACTTAACCACCACACCCGTACCAGCCCAGTGAACGCCTGCGAGGGAAGCTCTCCATGCCCGAGGGCAGTAGCAGTGGTACTGGTAGTGGTCGTGCGGTGGCGGTGGCGTAGTGGTGGTGGTGGTGGTGGTGGTGGTGGTGGTAGTAGTGGTAGTAGTGGTAGTAGTGGTAGTAGTAGTAGTAGTAGTAGTTGTAGTAGCAGTAGTAGTAGTAGTAGTAGTAGTAGTAGTAGTAGTAGTAGTAGTAGTAGTAGTAGTAGTAGTAGTAGTAGTGGGTGGTAGTAGTACGGCCAGAGGCGTAGGTTTGCCCGCGCCACTCGGGCTGCATCCACAGCCGAGCCTGTTTGGCGTGGCAAGCGCGATACTTGCGAGGGGTCCTCCCGATCTTGTCGCTGCCAAACTTCTGCGCGAAATCCCTAGTTGAAGCTGCGAGTGGCTTGCGCGTTTCTTTACTGCAGTAGCTTTCCCCCGAGACAGGCAGAGTTTTAAGGGGAGATTGTGCCGGGTCCTTGCCCAAAAGCTGTCTAATTATTCTTCTGCCAGTCCGAGCCAGGAAATGCTGATTAAAACGTAAGCCTGCATGGGTGAAAGCTTCAAAACTCCGGATTCCAGCGCGCGTCGATAAGTTGCGTGCGTTCGCCGCAGTTGATGCGAAGTCGTGCTCAGAAATCGCTCGCGAAACAAAAGTGAAAAGAGCGGCTGTATTGCCATACCCATGTATGTACTTTGATTTTTGAATCAGGGCTGCATGCAGGGAGTGCGGCCACCAAGATGTTACGTAGTTGCTCGGGCGGAGATGAGCGCTGGAGGGAAGTGCTGAGACCAGTTTCGCTTGCTTCCGTGGCTGCCTGCCCGCGAGCGGCAGGGGCTGGGAAACGAAGAAAAGCGCGAAGCCGAGCTACGGAACCTGGTCCGGCATGAGGCCCGAGGTGCACGCAAAGCGTGCTAAAATGAAAATAGCGCGTAGTCCTGCGTGTAGTAGTAGTAGTAGTAGTAGTAGTAGTAGTAGTAGTAGTAGTAGTAGTAGTAGTAGTAGTAGTAGTAGTAGTAGTAGTAGTAGGAGGAGTAGTAGTAGTATAGGAGTAGTAGTAGCAGTAGTAGTAGTAGTAGTCGTAGTAGTAGTAGCAGTAGTAGTGGTGGTGGTGGTGGTGGTGGTGGTGGCAGTAGTGGCAGTGGTGCCAGTAGAAGTAGATTTGCTTGTGCAGACGGTTCAGAGAGCTACTGCCAGGTGTAGGGAAGGTCAGGCAGCAGGTCAAGTGGCTGTAGACAAGTATAACCTTCAGACCCACCACATGCTTCACAGTCGCTGGTTTCCTATGGGCATTCCCTGTTTCTGTGGCCCTCCCTGAGCTCGTACAGCAGCCTCTCTGACTCTTTGGTCTGCCGGGCCTGCGAATGGTGCAGGACCAGTCAGTTGTGTTTGCTAGTCGCATTAAGCATGAAGGGAAGTCTAATGTCTTCCCGCAGATAACTCGGATCGCATTTTATGGGCTCATGGCCTCGTGGTGATGTCTTCATGCGCGCCTGCGAGGGGAGTGTCTGTGTGTGTTGTGTGTGTGTCGTGGTCGATTAGAAGCGTCGGTCTACATTGCCTTATGATGGGCACAGGACTTACAGCATCAAGTCGGCAGCCGGACTCCCATCTCATACCCTCTCGTCCAACTCTGAGCGCGTGGAACCGTGACCGTTCCTTCGTACTTTGGAGACGACAAACTGGAGTGGACAAGAAGGGAAGAAGCACTGCCGACTGTAGACATTAGGGCCCACGGCCGCCGAACTGGTTTCGAAGAAGAGTGATGCACTGGTAGATCAAGATGGCCCGTTTCACAAGTGAGCTCCGAATATATCATTCTCAAACATGTGTGCGATGAAACGTCATCTTCAACAAGTGGCACATTTTGTGTGCATAGAGGTGTGCATTGTTTGAGGCCACAGCATTCGACGTCCTGGGCGTCTCGGAAGATTGCAGTCTTGAGGAGGCAATTGCTGCAGCTAACCTGTCATCTGCGAGTCTTGCCACAGAAACCCTGCGCGTAGCAGTGGATTACCTGCAGTTCTGCAGTATCACGCTTGCCTAACACATGGCATTTCCACGGCTTGGTAGGCTGGAAGACAGGGACGGGTCGTTGCCCCAGGTGCCAAGAAACCCTAAACCCCGGCGTGCATCCTGCAATGAAGGATTTGAGAGAAACCATCATGAAGCTTGGCATGTTGACCGGCGGCAACTACGGCCATCCGGACCAGGACGGGAGCCACAGATACATAGCACGGCGCAATGACTCGTACTGGACCTTACTGGATGTTGCAGGCTGAAGCTGTGCGAATGATAGAAGAGGCCGCCGAAGCGATTGCTGTGCCGAGCTTGGAATGTCCCTTTCTACATAATCATGTTGTCGACATCAATGTCATCAGAGGCCTAGGAGGTTATGGAATGCATCTAGTGGCAGAGATCATGCTGCCGTCCGTTGCGAAGGCAAAACCTGCGCAACTTGAGGATACTCCGCGTTCTTTATGGTTTATTGACTTACTGAAATTTTGTGCTGCGCAGCCGCATGAAAACAATCCAGCTCGGGTTGCCGGACAGGAAGGGCAACCCTGGTTGCAGAGATGACACATTGCTTTCTCGAAGAAATCCGGCGCTTCGAACCTTCTGAAATGATCGGTCCAGATGCACTGCCAAAGTGGCCCTTGGTGCAGCGCTTGACCCGACAAGACTGTCCGAGCAAATCCCTGCCTCCGAACGGTCATGAATCCTCCCTGCGCTCGCACAGCATTGCGGCCATATCGAGAGAGCGTATGCAAGAAACCATGTGAAGAACTCAGGAAATGCATCCCCTCATGTTTTTAAACATTAGGGGTGTGGGCGAGCCAAAACTCGAACTTAATGATATGGGCACTGAGACTGAGGGCATGCATCGATTGCTTAGTCTAGTATCGTCTTGCTTTACAGGGCCGCCAGTGGTGAGTTTTCAGGGAGTCTGCGGTGGCTAGGTGTGGCCCAGTTTTCTTTTGGTGAAACATCTCCCCCCTCGTCACAGCAAAGCCACGAATGTCGAATGTCGTGGCTAAGGAATGCAGGCAGGGTGAACAAGCAAAGCCAGCAAAGCAAGACTAGCTTGCGATCTGCTGGTTCGAGGGTCAAGGGCAAGCGATGTGATTGATTGATTGATCTATTGAGCGACTATCACCCGTTGCCGAGGAGCCTGCGGCTCTGACAGCGAGCAAAGGAGGCAGCAGCAGGACTCTCATTGCAAACCGCCGGAAAAAAACTCAAGCCTCCATGTTCCTGTCCGTTCAAGGTTTCTCGTCCCTCAAGCCCATCCAGGCCAGACGATGAAGGAAATAGTGGAGACAGCAGAAGAAGACCAGACTCATGTGTGGGCACAAGCATACGCAAGCCGAGCACAACCCACGCACCACACACGTGCACATAAGCGAGTTACTGCGCATGCACAGGCTCGCGCGCAGACTCAGTTTCTTCAAGGTAAGGCACACTGGTTTGTAGTTGTAAAATGATGGATGTTGTGACATTTTTGCGACTCGATTCCAGTGGTTTGCAATACCTTAGTGTCTCAGCGCTTGCTGTGACACCTTGGTGGTGGTCGTCGTCGTCATCGTCGTCATCGTCGTTGAGTTCATCTCCACACCTCACCCACGAGCTGGCACGACGCCCCAAGTGCAAGGAGGCCGGAGCAAGCAAGTACGTTTATATAACTATATAAACAGGCTCCCCGAGGAGGTCTTCGTGGACCACCGCTTTTCGGGGGCCACGGTGGTCCCCTGCTGAATTAATGATATACTTGTGGTTGCAGAAGCAAGCTGGCAAATCTCTGTCATGTTGCAAGTAAATCACAGAACGAGAGGTGCTGTTACACATGTCTTGAGGTGTGTATTGTTCATCTGCCACCATTGGTGTAAATGCCGGCTGCATCTGTGGCTCTGCTGCTGTGTGCGGGACTGAATAGCGGTGATGCTGCGGCTGTGGCATGGTATTTTGCGGCATTGCTGGTGCCACGGCAGCCGGGAAGTGCGGAGCTTGCTGTGCCACCGGCACGGAGGCGAACTGGTGGAACTGCACTGTTGTGCTTTGCAGCTGTTACAAGGTGCCGTGCAAAAGAACGCTTGCGAAAAACAGCAAATCCATCCAATTGTGCTTTGGAGTGCATTATGACTATGAGTTCATTAGTGGCATGGCTGGTTGGGTAGGGCCCGCTGAGGTCTTGAAGTTGTGGAATCTTCTTCTTCGCCGATCAAGAGCGAGCAGCACGAGGGGGCAATGAGCCATGGACGTTGAGCTCAGAGATTTGCTTGCCGATCACAGTCCTGCCGTTGCGACTGGCTTGTAGCACTTGGCTTGGAATCATGCTGGATGTGCGTCAATGTGGCAGAGTGCAGCAGCAATGGAAGTCGAGTGGGCGAGTGGTCCAGGCCAAACTCAGGGTATCTCAGGGTGCTGATTCGCCACTTCAGGTGCATCTTCGTACGCTTAGGCTTTGAGACGATCTGCAGTGACAGTGCGGAAACGAGTCTTTGACTTAGACATGGAACGCCAGTCTAGGTTTCCCACTCGTGATGAAAGGCGTGCTGTGTCATGCCTGGCTCCACCACCATCTGGCCCCAAGCCTAAGATGTGCTTCTGCACCGGCAAAATGCTGGTGAGGTCGCAGTGGTCACCTCTTTGGACCCTGTGCCTCGCCCTGCAGCATCCGCTGACACTCAGAAGGTTTGGAAGCTAGAGGTTCTATTCTGTATTGCTTGCGAGATTTTCTGCACCCTGCCGACGTTGGCGTAGACAATCTTGATTTTTTGGATGAACAAGCCGTCACTCGTGCTTCCGATGTTGCTATGACTTCAGCGCAGAGGACGCTGCGTCGCTGGAAGGCGTTTGCGGGGGCATCAGCTTGGGACGTGCGTGACTTGGAGCCTAGCAAGATTGCAGCCTTCTTAAAGTCTGTTTCGCGTGGCGGCCCTACTGCAGCCTCTTCTTGCGCTGAGTCGATGACAATTTGGGAGGCTGCTTCCAATTCTCCCGTTTTCTTGTGAAGCTTTTCAGGTTCCATGCTCCGGGTCACACGGCTCAGTGCCAGCGGTCTAAACAAAGATCACGGCTCCTGGCTTAAGTTCCATTGCGTACAGGGGAAATCCCGCCGCCAGGGGTTTCGTCCTGCATATAACTGGGCCATGCCGCCTGTCACCTTCTTAGGGCTAAATTTGGTTGCTGAGCTTCGAAAATTTTTCCTGGAGGAGGCTTTGCCTGGGCGCCCCTTCTTATGACCGGCAGTCCCGGGATGATTTGTAGCACGTCTCAGAAGCAACAGCTTTCCGTCTCGAGAGAAAAATGAGTGCCTGCCCCCGGGAGCACAGGTGCTGAATCTGCACCCACAAGATTGCCAGGCCATAGGGTCCTGGCTTGAAATGCCGGGAGGAGGCTCTACCTCCACCTCCCAGGTGAGCCGCCAGGACCTGATGTCTACTCATCATTCAGGTGAGCGGGTGTTGGCCAGCATGAGATAGCATGAGGGCCAATCCTTGGTGGTGCAAGCGGTGTTGCAACATGCAATGGCGTCGCAGATGTCACGCACTGCACTGCCCCCCGACTCCCTTCGGTGGCCGGCTATTTTCGGGTCCTAGGCCTAGTTCCTCCCCTGCTGTTGATACAAACAACTGCCAAATCCCGTGCCCCAGTGCTTCAGAGGATCAGGAGTCCTCATCGTCGTCAGAGCAGCACGGGGCAATGGTTTCACACAAGGCCTGGCACGGAGCATTTGTCAGAAATGTCTTCGGTCCATGCCACGTGGCCTTAGCAAAGCGCTCAGGGGCCTTGCAACGTTAGAATAATTGCTCTCGAGAGAAAAAGACGTTCGTGGTGCATCTGCAAGCATACACCTTTTGGCACCCGTGGTCCACTGCCGATGCTGTTTGCACCTGGCGGAGCCTGCTTTTTCGGCCTCAGTTGTTTTATGCGTTCTTGTTTAGGTTGTGCTTAAGGTCGTGCTATGGCTGAGTGGCTGCAATTGCCTTTCCGTCTGCCGCTGGAATGGCGACTGCCCAAGAAGATTCGTGGCAGGGGCTACATCGTTAGTGGCTATTGCGCGGACGCTTGTGCAGGGCTGTGTGTGGATTTGCTTGTGGGCGGCCGTTGGCAGCGGAAGCCCCGCGTCCACACAAGAAACACCAGTGTCGGCGTTGCCACCAGACAGGACCGTGCCCCGCCGAGGGCCCGCTGCCGCGTCCGTGGCGTCGTCCACTGTGATGGGATTTACCGGGACATTTTCGACGTAGGCGTCATCGGCCTGCAGGGTGGTGCAAGGAAGCTTGTTTACGAGGCTGTGGTTTTGTTTGCTCTCAGCCGATTCTCTTCAGCTCGGACTATGATCATAGAGGGGTGAGGCTCGTCATGTTTGGCCAGCTTGTCAACTCTTCAGAGACGTCGTGGCCAACTACCATGTCAGCCACTGTGGGCGGTCCATCTGAGGAGCGAAACACCGCCTCAAGGGCCGGAATGCTGGACACACTCGATTAGTTGCTCCTGTTGCGTTCTGGGTCTGAAAAAGCCGAAACTCTCGGAGGAAGAGGCATTTTACACCTACAGGTCAGGGCAAGCAGCCTCCGGAGAAAGCAGGCATTTACATAATTTACATACACAGGCTCCCCGAGGAGATCTTCGTTGACCACCGCTCCCCAGGGGCCCCGGTGGTCCCCTGCTGCAGAATCTTAATGATATCCTTAACATTGTGGTCGCAGAACCAAGCTGACAAATCGCTGTCACGTTGCAAGTAAATCACAGAACGAGCGGTGCTAACACATGTCTAGAGGTGTGTATTGTTCATTTGCAAACGATTGGAAAGTGTCCCTGAATCATTACAGAAGATCCCCGTGCGCACACGCACGAGCGATCCGAGAGTTCTCTCCTGGTGTTGGACACTCGAGATAATCGTTTCCTGAGCACGTTTCAGAATTGGCTCGTGAAGGCTCGCAGATTGGGGGTCCATGTGCAGCATCGGGCACTGCCCCACGAGGCGTGACAGCCCTTCGTTTTGGCTGCTCATGAAAAATGGGAAGTTCTTCAACGGCACTTGGACATGTACATATTTTTTACATTTAGCGGTTTGCCGACGAGAATGTGTTTGTGTGTGTACCGTCCTAGCACGCGCGCACGGGGTCTCAGCGGTTTGCAAAAAACGTTTACGTCAGTTGCGCCGGTGCGCCTTCTTGTGTGCAATGAAGCTATACGCGTGAGTGAAAGAGAGAGGCGGATGTACGTGCACATATTGTTTCAGCGGAAAAACGGGGCATTTCTTCTGGTAGTTACTGGTAGTTTGGTATCCGCCATGTCTGCCAAAGCTTACATGTTGACATGCAGTCAAGCACGAAATCATGGTCGGCCAAGTTGCTCACTCATTGCATCCTTGTTGGGTTACTTTCCTGTCGGTTCCCGTCTTCAGGCTACTTCTTGCGCTGTTTTGTGTCGACTGATGTTTGCAGTATTTTGCAGTGGCTCCCTGTTTTGATCCAGGTCACTCGTGCCCTGGGTTTGAGAGACTTGAAGCTGCCCAGAAAAATTGTTTCATCGGAGCCGCAGGCAGGGGAACTTCGGAAAATGGTGCTTAATGCGATTCCGCTTGCGTCCTCAGATAGACGTCATCCAGCTGGAGGCACTGGGTTCGCTCGAGCCTTTGTTTTTGCTATCTGAATGCCTCTGCCACTGGGAGATGATGTTGTCTGTAGCAGAGGCACCACCTCGTGCTGCTCAGCGGTGTCCTTGGCTATCACATTCCACCGTATACGTGCCATTTCAGTTCAGGTGCCTTTGGTTCATGTGTCGTCTGGCATGCTGAATTCCATCCAGACATGTGGAATGAGCTTGGCTGTGGCGAGAATCAGGTGCCATGTTGCTCCAAGCCAAGAAACTTTAAGAGTTGTAAGAGTCGAAGTCCCTGAGACACCGTGGGGCTGACTTGAAACCGCGACAAGTTGATTCCACTTTACGGGCTCTCGCAGAGGCGGAGGGATGCGGCCTTAAGATCGAACTTATTCTTCAGCCACTTTTTGTGGGAATTCTTGATTGGTTGGGTGTGGCAAGCCAAGAAGATCAAGAGCGGACTGCATGTGCAAGGCTCGGGCGCGACATCTTTGACTGACCAGGAGGCTTCACATGGCAAGGGGTCTGTGCAAACAGAGTGCACGTTTGCAGCTGCAATCGGCGGGTTGCGTTGTAGCCCAGCGGTTCTTTTGCACCTCACCAGGTCATCGAACGAATCCGTGGTTTCTCAGGGCAACCCAAGGCTCTTGCCCAGATGCACCGTGGGCCCGCTGTGACAGCCTCTGAAACCAGGCCGGATCACTCCTGGTCGCAGCTGATGCCGCAGCCAAAAATGCGGCGTGCGAGCCTCTCCAGCTGCTACAGAGTTGGCATTACCTGGCCATGGCGGTGGTAATCCACGATACCCTGGATTCGTTTTCAGGCAGAGCATCAGTGGGCCGCAGCGATTCGGCTGCTGCATCGTCGGTGTCTTCGAGGTGGTACATCCGCTGCAGGTGCTCCGCATCAGTTAAGCAGTACCTGCACGTTCTGCAGGTCGGGTCAGGCTATGTCGAGCCAGCTGCGAAGAAGGCCAAGAAAGATGGCGGTGACAAGGCCGAATGCCAGAGCGCTGTCGGTTCTACTCGGATGGATTTGGGATGACATCGTCGGGGCTTTCCTTGGAAGGTCCGATGCAGACACATTCTTCTCAAGCACAAGGAGTTTCGCCACATTCAGTGAGTGCAAGGTTTGGGTGTGCTTCGTCTTGTGCGCTCGGTTCTTGGCATCTGTAAGGACCTAAAGCAAAAGATGGATCCGCAGGTTGGTGACGCGAGACTTATGAATCGATGTGCACGTACTGCATGCTGCGCAGCGGAATACCACGAAAATCCTGGCTACCTATACGCCAAAAGTCGAAGTACAACCAAACTGAAGGCGCATCTGCGATCCAAGGGTCGGGGGCTTAGTGACTTAGTCAGAAACAGAGTCAGAAGGGGTACGTGCGTCCGATGAGTTTCAGAGTTCGAGACTGGCTAGAGACCGGCTCAAGAGGGCACATGCATGTGCATGTCGTCATTATATCAGCCTGCACTGTAGGTCACTTGGCAAAACCAAGCACTTAACCAAGTGAGGGACAAAGGCTTCTGCAATCCTGCCGCGGCAAGTTGCAGATGCGACAAAACAATGACGGGTTAATCGTGGATTTTCATTGGCCTTTGAATGCATGGCATCACATTCGGCAGAGGATCCGGAGGTTGGCGCTTGCTGGCGAGATTAGCGAGTCTTCGTTCTACTGACTTGTTTGGTCAGGTAGGGATAAGGGTTTGCCTTTGTGTCTGTTAGTTAGGATTCGTGGTTGGCCTCTACCGGTTGATCTCGTACTGAAAAGGGCCACGCAGGACAAATTTCAGCGGAAAGTCACATTATGACCATCATCTGCTTGTCTTGGTGAGTGTGCATGATTTGGAAGGCTCAGCAGAGTCACTTGTTCTGTGAGCGCTGAACCGGCTCAGGCCAACAAGATGCCTGTCTATCGAGCGTGATAAGCCACAATCACGAGCCTCAAGCCTAATGAAGGTTGTGCTGGTGAATGGTGAAAATTTTAATTTTTGATCGCAATACAATGTCCCCGGAGCTAAGATATCCTGTCGGCAATGTGCCAAAGGCGAACAACAAACAACCAAAAGCTCGGCAGTCCCCGCACATATACTATATACATATATGTGTATGTATAGGTGAGTGTAAATATGTATAAATGTACATATACTTCTCCATGTGTTCATTTACATGCTTATACGTTCCAGTAAATACCGTTCATGTGTTTGTCATATATATATATATATACATGTATATGTATATGTATATATATATGTATATGTATATTTATATGTGTATTTGTATAATATACATACACAGACACACGCACACACACACACATATATATATATATATATATATATATACATATATTTATATACATAAGTATATGTGTAGATGTATGTATGTATGTATAAATTTTTTATGTGTATATATATACAGGTATCTAGGTATATGTGTATATATGTATATATATATGTATATATGTACATATGTACATATGTATATATGTATATATGTATATATGTATATATGTATATATGTATATATGTGTATATGTATATATGTATATATGTATATATGTACATATGTTTATGTATATATATATATATATGTACATTTGTACATATGTATATATTTACATACGTATATATGTATACATGTATATATGTATCTATGTATATATGTATACATGTTCATATGTATATATGTATATGTGCATACACCCATACTTACACAGGTACACGCACAAGTATACATGTATATATATATATATATATATATATATATATATATATATACATACATACCTACACTAAATAAGTCGAAAAGATCAATAACTACATGTATATGTGTTATATATATATATACATGTCTACATATGTATGTATGTATACAAATGTATCTATGTATGTGCGCGTGTGTCTCTGTGCCTGTGTGTCCACGTGTCCGAAGAGGTAGTGCCAAAATTTATGTATTGGTCAGAAAACCCTAGTCTCCGAGACACATCCTGTGAGCATATCTGCTCGAAACTGAAACATGATGAGATTGTGGATTTGAACAATCTCTGGGTATTTCTGGGATTGTGCTTGTTCTTCTTTAGTGGCGGCGGCACTCTTGCAATACGTACCTGTCGAGAGCACGAGAGCCAACAAACCATGGATCAGTTCCCGCAGACTGGACCTCTTGAGCCGAGGGTGTGAAGCTCGAGAAAATGACAACTGGAACGTTGAGACGCAATTGCAGAGGCAGGTCGCGAAATCAGAAAAAGGGGTTGCTCCAAATGGCTCGAGGATTTGGCATCTTCCGGGGCTTGGCAATCGATCAAAGAGCTCCGCAAGGGTCGGATCAACAAGCAGGGGCGATTGAAAAACAGTGATGTGCGGGCAGAGATGCTTGCTGAGCACCTGGAAAAGCTTCAATGGAGAATTCGACGAACGACATTGATTCCTGAACTGCGGCCGAATGTGATGTGGGTGAAGTTTCGTCAGCAGGTCGGATTTCAACCACACCGAGGTCAGCAAAGCTTTTTCAAAATTGGACGGTGGTAAGGAACCTAAACCCTAAACCCTAAACATCTAAACATCACAATCGTTGGGATTTGGCCGATACTGGCACATTCGACCTCTGTTAACATTGTCTGTCTTAGGTCGCAGGCGGGGCTGTTGTATGGCATGGAGCTTCACTGGGATAAGCTTTAAATGCAACAGCCAGAAGGTCAAGCAATCATACGGGCGCCGCCCGACTGGTGAGCATATTTCGCCAAAAGTGTGGATTGACTATTTGGGATTAGTTCCAAGTCGTTACGGGCTAGCAGGGCATGGACGTGGTCGGAGAAGTTTGGAAGCACTTTTCTTTATTGCGGTTATTCAACCAGACCAAAGCCGTTGTGTTCGCCGAGCTGCTTGTGTTTATTTTCCGCGGATTGTCGGCGTCTTGATGGCTTTCAAACCCGTTGCTTGCGAAGTACTGTTGGCATCCCACCAGCTTTCATCTCGAGAGTACCCAATACGGAAGTTCTGCGCCAAGCTTGTTGCCTCGGTGCAACAGACATTCTTTTGAAAAAACAATGCTTCCTTTTCGGTAACGTGCCGAGATCTGCATACGCCCATTCATTGCACGGCTTTGCATTTATTCGCGGAATGCTGCAGCCTGCCACAAATATGTGTATCCATATAACTATATATCTATGTATATATATATACACATACAATGTGAGAAGAGTCGGGTTGGCCGCGACGAGCATGGGTCACATTTGTTGCAGACACACCGCGTCAATTCCTGGAAAGCCACTGTGACATAACCAGACGTGTGCAGAATCCTGATGTCTGGAATGGTGTGGTGTGACAGTTTACTCATCTACGTGCAATGCCGGCCGACTTTCGTCAAGTGCATGTTTGTGCGTCGAACTCCTGAGGTCCTGTTTCTAAGTTTTGCTAAGTCTTTACGGGTCTCGTGTAGTCGATGAGCGAAGTGCTTCAACACCATGCAGGGGCATGTGGAGTTCATGTCTTGCCACATGCAACGAAGCTGTGGACATGAGTGGGAAGCGAGATCTGATCATTCTGGAGCACCTGCACAGAGTTGCTCATGGGTCACGTGGTGTCAAGTTGAAGACTCGACAAAGACCAGGGAAAGAGGCTTCCGGATAGCATTTTTACCAAAGCGCGGTTGGACTCCCGGTCAGTGGTGGATAAGCTGAATACCTCCTGAATACATGTGGGGATTCTGAAGACTGAGCCTCCCAGGCCTCCGCCACCGCCCGAAATCAAACCCCTTTGATGAACGTAAGGCGAAGACCGTTAAGGTGTACAGGTGCATACCGGACGTGGCCAAATAGACCTTTGCATTGCCTTGCTGCCTTGCGCCAAAGGTCCCCTACCAGTTTGCTTGTGGATGCCGACGGATTGTGTGGGCAGCGGCTCGCGAAGCAGCTTTGGCCTCTTCTAGAGCCTCCGGCTTGACATATTTGGATACTGCTGATACCCGGGTTGCCAACAATACATCATAAGGCCGTCGCTATGATCGTCGTTGTGTTTCATTGCTCAGGTGTCGCAGCTTCGCATTGGGAGAACGTCTGTGGTGACATCCCTCAGGAGCGTCGAGCTATGAGAGCATCGGCCTGTCACAGACTGTCGCGAGACGAGCGATCGAGTGTTGCTCAGCACGGGCTTGGCAAGCGGCGGAGGTTTGCTGGAGTTGTCCGCAACCTCAAACTTGACATTACTGTGGGAGGAATGGTCAATGTCGCGGGAGGCTGCTGTTCAGAGTTTGCATGCAACGACTTCAGAAAGATGGCCAGATTGGGCAGAGATGGTGGAGGAGCTGCCTACTTAAAGCTGAGTCTGCATCTTCCACAATGCTGCACTGCAGGAGCTGTCTTCGTCCGCTGCGGAGGTGGCACATTCCGGACAGTTTGTGAAGAAGGCCGCTGAAGCAAGAATAGTTCAAGAGGTTCATGGAGTGCTGTCAAGGTGAGTCCTAAGAGTAAAGAGAACTGGTTAGCTTTCGCCTGCGGTGCACGCAGAAAGCGTTGCCGCCGTGGCTCTGGGAGAGCCGGCTTCATCGTACATACCGACGCGTGGATGAGTCTTCGGCCTCGAATGCCTCGAAAGCATTGAATCGCGCCAGTACTTCTGGAAAAGTCTGACATAGTCCTTCGGACTCGCGCCAGTTATAGGGGGAAGCATCAGCGCCGTACTCCTGAAAAGCGCCAGTGCTTTGCGGACAGAGCCTGCTCTCCAGAAGCCGCCAGTATGTTGGGGCAAGCAGCTCAGCTCCCGAAGCCTCCCGAATCCGTCCAGTACTCGGGGCCAAAATATTCGTGTCCAGGTGGTCTTTGGGGCCTGGGGTCTCCTGTCTCCTAGCAACTTCCTGACTTGGCTGGTCTGTTTTGGTCTGGTGGTCTCCTAGCGGTTTCTTGGTGATTGCTCCTGGTCTCATCGTGATGTCCTCGTTGTCTCCTGGTTGTCGTGTTGTTGTTTCACTGTTTGGGGATCTCTGCTAACATGAGCGCTTTTCTCTTGATTTCCCGCGCCTTCATAAGGCAGCACCATATGATGCCGCCCTGCTTCGCATGGCGATCCAGTGCCAGGGCTTGGATTGAACTGCATTCAACCTCCCTTCCTTCAAGATGCAAGACCCGCCACTCTGGAACAGCAAGGTTCGGCTTCTATTGGTGGCATGTCTCGAACGCGGATGCTTCACTAGCCGAGCGCAGCCTGTCGCACGCTGTGCAATCGTTCCATGTGGCTCACTGGTGCCACAGTGCTTGGCGCGGAGCCAATCTGGGAGGCCGATTCAACACATGAAGGCAATTTTGGGCCATGCAGCATGCAGATTCTCTCTCAGGTTGGATGCTGCTAGAACCTGGACCCGCGTCGCCGTTTTTCAATGTTTGCCATGTCGCAGACTGAGCCACTCCACGTTGAGAAGTCTATGCCAAGTCTTGGCCGGTTTAGGCGAAGATCCTGGAGCTCAGTGGTGGTCCTGCACAGGACTCACGAAGCAAAATTCTTGCGGGCCTCGCATCCGCGGCTTCCAGGAGAGCCTGGAGACATCCGGCGCACGGGACCCTCCAAGCGAGAATCCTCCCGGACTGGGCGATGAGTACTCCGTCTGCGCTGCTCTGCAAGCGGCTGGTGGAGAGTGCTTGCGGAACCTTGCTTGTGACATGAAGCTCTTCGCGTACGTTTGGTTTCTAGACCATGGTTTAGGAGTGAACTCTTCCAGTGGCACCGATCCCAACACTACACAGCTCGCGCCTGAGTGCCGCATTTTGATGGTGATGGGTGTCCCAATATGTTTTGACCGGCGAGACCACAGGTAGCAATTCGCTCAGTGACGATGTGATGTGACACTACCGAAACGCGCCGACGGATTTCCCAGTGTTTCATGCGTTGCGATCACGTATAAGAATGTAAGAAGATTCTTGGGGATTCAGGCAAAACTCAAGCTTTGTGTCTGCTGAAAACGGGCGGGGCGGTTTTGGGTCTCGGGCTTGACAGTCCTTCTCGGGGGTTGGGCATACTTAGAACAATGCTTGGGAAAGGGTCGGCGTAGCCTGTGACGAAGAGGAAAAGACGATGGACGAAGGTAGCACCAATCTGATATCCCGGATATCCCGGGCTGTTGCATGTTACATTCTCCGGCCGTTTAGACACCTTCGCAATCGAGGAACAGACTTTCGCCGACATTGCCAAGACGGGCTTGAATGCAGTACGAGTTCCTTTCGGCCACTGGGTGGTACAGGGGCCAGGCAGACGAGGGCTACGTGGTGCGAATGCCAAGCAAGGGCTTGGTAGAGAGTGATCTGCAGACGTCAGCGATACCACATGTCGGTTTGGCAGGTTCGGGAGAACCATACGAGGGCCCCTGTGCCGTTCCGAGAAGCAGTCTTTGTTCCAAGACTGGGGTTGTGCGTTGCCAGCCGATGAGCATGACCAAGCTGCCTCCATGTGTTCTTGCCTTGTCCTGAGGCCTAGAGGTACTGGATGGTTGCGTCCAAATGGCCGAAGCGCAAGGTTTGCAAGTTCTCCTTGATGCTCGGCCAGGGGTCGAGTTGCGACCGTTCCATCACGCAGATGACATTGTTGTATGATCTTGGCTAGCCTTGACTTGGCTTGCACAATGAGGACCTACATGGCAACCCAGGGGGGGAGAGCGGCAGTAGACCATGTGGACGAGAATCCGCTACGTGGAGGTGGGAAGATTGGCGCCACGACGAGGCCTGGCTGCTTTCACACGGGCATTGCGGTCTGCAGACCTTGGCAGGCCGTAGAGGTTCTGCGCCTCTTGGCAGCGCGATACTGTGACAAGTCCTGCGTGACCGGAGTACAGGTCGACGAGCTTTCGTGTGGTTCCAGCCTCTGCAACATTGAGATTTCCGGACAGGTTTGCAATGAACCTTCCGAGAACATTCCAGCCGACAGGCTGTGAGTAGATCGGCCCCGGAAGCCCGGAAGCCACGACTTTCGCAGGCTCTGCGATTTCTACGAGCAAGCCATCGAGGTTGGACTTGAGAGCGATGTCAGTACGGGACAAAACTGAGTCTGCCACAGGCCATTCGATCCAGCGGCATGGGGCCGGACAAAGTTGCAGTAGTGCCACGTGGCCTTGTTTTCGAGTTGCGGCTTTCCTTCTTGAGGAGAGCTGGGGCCCAGGCCCAACTTTCTTCGTCCAGTCGTATGTCCCTGCCACTGAACAGAATAGGCCGGCACTCGGCTGGGGTGTTTGCAGCAAGCGCTTCCAGATTTTCTGCAACCCACAGTGCTGCTGAAACGTGCAGAAATCGGGCTGCAACTGTGGCAGGCCAAAGCAATCCAAACAAAACTCACATCCACAGCTGTTCAGACTCAGTCGACTTGCCCATGCCGTTCGTCACACCGAATCTGCAGACCAGGATCTGCAATATGCTTGTCTCGGAATCTGTCTCTGTCTCTCATCCCTCTCTTTTCCAGGCATGAAGGAAGGGCAACGGCTGCAACAATTAGAGACTGTCGAAATGAATGGCCATACTTGCTTGTCACTGCTGGTCATCTTAGTTCCAATGTCTCCTGCCTGCAAAGTCCGGAAATTATCGTGCCGAAACTTCTGCAGAAGGTCTGCGTGCATTGGCGACATAGATGTGTTTTCTGGTTTGAGTGTGTCATGTCCAATCAGACACGGCGCATTGGTGGCTTTCAGGGTATAGGGCTCTGATGGACCATGCCTGTCTTCAGGGACCTGGCACGGCCGCCAGGCGCCAGGATCTATCTGCCACAAGCCCTTGCTCCAAAGCAAGCCACGCCGACTCAGCAGCGGCAGGCGAGCTGAGCGATGCAAGATCCATTGACGAGCATGGCCGCAACATATCTGGCGTTCTCGAAGAAGGAAAGCTTCGATTGGTGGCAGCACCATGATGGGGATTCCAGAGCGTGTGCCTGCTTCGCAGGCACTGGCACAGATTCCTTGAAACCCCGTGCGGTTGTTCACTGCATCTTCCACCAGCTAAGAATTGGTCTGGCTTGAAAAGCTGCTGGAAGGTTTCAGTGCGCACTGCAGCCACGAAAGTAAGACTCAAGATGGACCGTCATACAATGTCATACAGCGGGGCAAGTTACACTGAAGGAAGCAGTAAGGCCGTCATCATCACCGTCGCCGAGCTGTCCGAAGGCATGTGCCCCTCGGGTTGCTCAAGGCAAAAGAGCTCTCGACAAGCTTACGCTCTCAGCCAGGCCGTTACCGGGCCCTGCCGAAGTCGCAACGCATCTCATGAAATCCTTGTAGGCACTGGGGGTGAAGGTAAAACCCCACGTAAACCGCAAACTGCTCAAGTTTGCTCTCGGTTACATCGTGGGAGACGGTTTTGCTACGACTTCCGCTGAAGGGCGCGCCCGCCGTTTTCGTCAGCATTCGTCGATCTTTGCCTGCGCACAACCAACCCACCTCATCCGGGAGCCGCGACCGGCCGTTGTGTCAGCAAGTGCATCCTTATACTGGTACTCATGCAGCATGTGTGGAGTCCACCCTGGCCATGAGTTGGATTTTATAGACTAGCTGTGCGACTGGCTGTGTCGGTTTTGCTGGTTTTTTTGAAGCCGCATAGTCGGGAGGCTGCTTGGTTTCGGTTGTCGTGGGGGTGTCGTAGGGCTTGGGACTTCGGTGTTGTACGGCTTTGCTGAGTTTCCAGTCAACACAACATGCAGCATATTCCAAGAGTGGCACTCACAGCAATTTTCAGCAGGACCTAGGAGTTTGAAGTTGCGCGGTGAACAACGCACCGTTCCCACGACTGCTCAGCCAATATTCGCATATTGAAGATTGGTGAGCACAGCTGTTCCACCAATTTATGAAAGTGCACCGCACTTCACGGCATACTGGGGACTGGAGCTAGCAGCAAGGCCACGCTGTCGTGGTAGTTCGGGGCCCTGTTTTTGTGCAGGGACGTTACACGATGGAAAACTGGAAGACATCAGCCTCAGCTTTCACTGATCAAATTCGTTAGCTTGTTGTTACGAGTGTAAATGTAAACTGTAAACTGTACATTCGGCCTGCGCAGCTGACGCTTGCCCCGCCCCCTATCTCTGTCGATCTCCACGACAGCCCTAGCAACCTGACAGACACACAAGCGAGCATAAACTGCATAGGCACGACACGAGCTGCCATGGCCATAGAAGCTAGATGATCAGATGGTGCAAGCTGGACACTATGAGTGCTTTGTCACGTCTGTTGCCAGCGCTTTAAAGGCATTGGCCAAGTCAGCAATCAGCGTGACAAACTTCACCTTCCCGAATGCATCTTTCTTGCTTCAAAGTCAACTAGATCCGAAGGAGAACAAGCCCGAAATGCAAGGTAGGTTCGTGGAGCCACTCATGCCGACTGTCAGTAGGCAGGCGCTTAGCTTTCGTCGCAAAATTTGCATCGCCCTGATCGGTGCCATCTGAGGTTGCCGATTTTCACTCATTGGCGGCTGAAGGAAATGTTGAACTGTTGGAATTCGCGAGGGAATTCATTCAAGTTTGACAATATTGCGTGGCTCGCCTTTGTTTTGCAAGCAGCATGCTTGTATCGTCCAACCTTGACTCTTGTTGATGCCCAGGTTTGACATTCATTATTACCATGACTTTTCTGCGATTTGGCGGCTGCTGCCTCACTACCGCCACATAGAGGCCTAGATGGCACCGTTTGAAGCCGTGGACTTCTGGAGTCATGGAGCTGGGCACAGGTCGTCGCGGAGCATGCCAGGGAGTTAAAGCTGCTTCCTGGCTCTGTGGTCGGTGAGTGGAGCCTTTCAAGGCAGGTCTCGTTCTGCAGCTGCGCCAGAAGCCTTAGTCGACGGATTCGCGCTTTAAGAGGCCTGGCTATTTCTCGGAGGAGGAGAAGGCAGACTTCGCCCAGAAGCAGGCGGAACTGCTGTGAAGAGGTATGCTGTTCCAGGTGCACTTCTTGTCGATGTTATCAAACCTGAGTTTTGTGAGCATGCTGCGCGCACATTTCCTGAAAGCCTTGCGCACAGTGTGTTAACCCGGCCAGCGTCAGCGGCCTGAATGCAAAAGGTGCATGAGTGCATGAGTGCAGATGCCAAGGTGGTAGCCTACAATCACGCATCACACGGATGGCACTTGACTTGGCATCGCTCATTCCGCTGACTTTCTGATCAGTCTGTTGCTTCGGCGGAAGAGGTTTTTCTGGAACTGGCATGACCATGCAGCAAGCTCAGCAGCGGATGATCAGGATGCATGTGGTGGTTGGCATGTGCTGAGGCCTTCTATCCGGACTGGGATCTTGAAAAGGCCGCGCACAGCCGCTGTCAGTATCAGGCTTCATAGATTCGCACTCTGCTAGGCTGGTGACACAGTTTGACCAAGTAGGTCATTACACCTCGATGCATATAGCATGTGTGGAGCTTCCTGCAAATTGCTCGTTGGAAAGCCTTCTTGCCATCAGCTTGCACAGGGCGTCTTCGGCTCTGGAAAGCTGCCCTGTCCACTGAGACATGAGGAGTTGCAGGCATAGGCAAAAAGTCATGTTGGGAGATGTTCTGCGGTGCTCCGATCTCGTGGCAGGGCTTCTTGTTTCCTGCATGGGAAGGATCAGGTGGAGGGCTCGGCCTGATATGCATGGCTTCATTGCCTGGTAAATTTTCCAGGCTGGAGTTCGATACCAAGTCTGGGACTCGACCCATGCTGACCAGCTAAGCTTCTGTGCTTTACGAGTTCACCACGTGTCCAGGAGCCTCGGATGTCATCGAGTCTGTAAGCAACAGTGCTCAGGCACCCCGCTGCCAACATTGTGGCCGCGTCTGATGGGATGGGCGAGCAAGTTGAAAGATTTTTTCGGCCTCTAGTTCGGATGAAATGCCACGGTCACAAGCACCACGGCATGTGAATGTCGAGTGCAGTCCAGTCACAAAAAGGTCGTTGTTGACAGATTACCCGCAGGCGATGTCTTGATCGCTTTGCTTCGCAAGGTCCTGTCACGCGCCCTTTGGCGCAGGCGTGGTTGGCATTGTGAGATTAATGTTTCGGTAGCTCCGTTGTCCGGTTTTGCCCACATCTTGTCAGAGCGGTTGGGATCGCTGTTGGGAATGCTCCCTGATCCGGTGCCTTGCTGTGCAATGCTTCTGGCCCTTGTGATATGGCTTCTTTCGGGAACAAGCACAGATGCAGCTTGTGATGTGGATCACACCTGCCCATCGAATGTAGCACTCTTGAGCCAAACCTCTGTGCAAGACCTGCGCCAACTGATTCTTTCTTGTGGACTCCGTGTGAGCGATTGCATCGAGAAGTCTGACCTTGTCGACCGTGCGCGAGAAGCCGCCACTCGAAAGACTCAAGGCTTGTGCTTGCCCCACAAGTCGGGAGCACGATCTGCCACACCGGCGTCCCCGCAAAAGGGGCCGCAGGGTCCTGCCCAAAAGCTTGCAAAACCGGCTCGGCACAAGCCGCGGAAAGCAGCAGAAAGCAGGGGTCTTCATTTAACGTTGCTGCCGTATACTGATGTGCAGGTCTCGAAAGCCTCGTCGCAAACCCTGCGAAAACTGCTTCATCACTTCGGTGGGTCCAGCAGAGGCGTTGCTGACAAGAGCGATCTCCTGCAACGAGCATTGCAAGCCCTGGCTCAGCCGAAAGCCATGCCAAAGCCTCATCAGATTCGGTACCAAGGTCACCAAGCGCACATCTTGACGCCGAAGATTCTCAAGAAGACGGTGCAAACAACACCTTTGCTTTTCGTTTTCCATGGAGCTGGACGCACAAAAGAAGGCGTTGAGGCATCGGTGTTGCATTTCTCCAAGGTGGCAGCCCGAAGAAAGTTACTGGTGGTACTGCCCATGTCGCTTGATCGTACGTGGGACCTAAGCTTACGTTCCACAACAGGGCAAGCATCTGCAGACGCTGCATTCATTGGCTACATCCTGGATTGTCTCATGCGCGACTACTACATAGACACTCGGCGCATCGCTTCCATGGGTTTTTCGGACGGTGGGTCTTTTGCACTGAGCTTAGCTGTCAATAACCCTGGCATCTTCCAAGCAGCTATGTCTTGGTCAGCTGGATATTATCTTGAAGCGGGATCAATGCCGCAAGTTCGGTCAAGCAGGGCCAGGACCAATGTTTTTCATGGTCATGGCGATGCCGACGAGCTCTTTGACTTTCACAAGGTGGCTCTGCCAATGCGCAGATCGCTCAGGAGCTCTGGCCACAACGTCACATCGCACAGTGTGAGGTCCGCAGGACATGGAGTGCCTCCGGGCTTTGAATCGTCTGCGATAAGCTGGTGGCTTGAGCTGCCGGTAAAACCTCTGCATCTGCCAGCTTGAACTTCGTGGGTTTGCAGTTTTGAGTAGTTTCGGAGAGTTGAGTTCTGTCCTGCGAGGCCGAACGTGAACTGATGAGACTAAAGGCAGGGCATGCCTCATGACTCATGTCCTGTAGAACGATTTGGGCGTTTTTGAGCTGTATAGGAGAGCTTAACAAAGGATACCAGCCAGTTGGCGGCCAAGCTTGCGCTCGATGTATGATTCGCTGAGCCATTTGCTCATTTGCTCTTGCTTTAGTTATTTGGCTTCTGAGGTTTCCGGCAATGGCTCGCAAGCACTCAGAGTGCAAGTCTGCCTTGCAGCCCGGACAGATGGCGGGAGACCTTGGCACGCAACTCAGACCCGGACCGTGCCTTGAGCACATATTCCTAGACACTCTACGACGCTACGACCGCCGAGGATGGATTTCCAAAGGCAGCCTCGGAGATCAAACCATGGAAGATGTCGTGCTCGCCCTCGAGGCCAGAGCAAAAATGGTAACTCGGTAACTCTGACTTGTGGAGTGGAGCCGCAGCATATAGCCAGGTGAACGAGCTCAGCGATTTGGTCACCACAGCGCGTGGTGTGCATCTTGTGCAAAGATATGCATGACAGCTCGCCGGGCATTTGCTTTGAGCAGCGACCTCCTACCTCGTCCGCCCTGGACCCAAGCGCGATCGCACTGGCTGGACCTGTACATTGCACCCACTCTGCGCAGAGCAGATCGTGCAACCTATGTCCGTCATCACGAAGTGTCCGCGGCGCACGAGCAGCAAACAAGGAGCCGAGTGTCAAATCTAGCAAGCTGTAGCCCGATTTCTCGAGCTTGTCAGATGTGCCGAAAGTTGCTGGCACGATATGAGCTACCGCGCATCTGTGATCTTTCCCCAAAACAGAGAGTGGGTGTAGTGGTGGCAGCTCCAGCCTGAACATGGCGGCCGCAGCCTTATGCCTGTTTGCGCGGGAGGGCTGACAGAGGCGACTGCGCAGAATCCGCACATGCACCCGCATCTACTCCGCTCGGTGAGGTGTGCACCTGGCAACATCTGCCCTCGGCCATCCAGCTAAGTTGCAAGTGTCCTTCTGCTGCAGCCATCATCAAGAGTTGCATGTGCCAAGGTTGCAGCTTGGCTTCGGCCGAAGGCAGATCGTCCGGAGTGCAGACACTGAAAGGCAACATTCAAAAGCAAATCCTCGCCAGGGTACCTGGCTCCTTATGCTCGTTGCGGAACTGTTTCGTGCCGTAGCGCGGGTTGACTTCACTGCTGCAGAAAACCCGCTGCTCCTGCTGCTGCTGATGGCATGGATCTGTGGTTTTGGCCCGTGGAGCCTTGAAAAAAGCCGGCATGTGAGTTAACTCGATATGTGTCGATCTGCACGAGCCCCAGCTAAGCGTACGTATCATGGGATAAGCATGGGGTGTTAGCACGATCATGGACAGTTTCTGCGGCGGAGCTAGGCTGATGACGTACAATGCAAGTCATGGGTTTTCAAGTGGTCGGGGCGCCCGGGGCGCCATCGCAGAGTCTGATCCGATTTAGCTTCGGGATGGCGCAGTATGCCCCACTAGTCGTACAGCGCAGTCAAAGGCACAGGTTCAGACTGCACTGTCCCTACCCCACACCCCAAAACAATCGTTATACCCAATGGGCATTGAGAGTGCAGTGAGCGAGGTGCGGATGCGGCAAATGCAGAACTTCCAGCGAGATGCCCAGGTTGTCTACGCAGTCCTCTAGGTATGTTTTCCGAGATGAGGTTAGGCAATGCCGCGGCTGAAGTCCTTGCTTGCACCTCCGGCAACGAACCCAGCAAACGGGTAACAGCCCGATCAGATGAGGGCAGCATTCGCACGATCGTACTCAGGTGCGCACTCATCGTCGCAGGCGCGTCAGCAGGAAGTGAGCTCAAGTGCGTCGAGGCAAAGGTCACCTCCAGCACAGACTGCACCAGACGCAAGGTGCAGGAGCTGGTCACGTTCGCAACCATCCCACCGCATCAGAGATCACCAGCAATGGCTCCAGCACGAGTCTTACAACGGATCAACTTCGAGTCTTATCCTAGCGCTTTCAACTGCGAGAACCTTGGCTTGGCACGGGGCCTTCCTCGTGCTTCTGAGGCTGTGCGCGCAGCACGGCAACAACATCGTAAGGTCTGCTTCTCGACATGCTTCAACGATGGGCCCACGATGCAGTCTAGATCAAGCTTTTGGTCGACTTCTCATCCGGCACCAAGGCGATGGAAAGAAGTAATGTGTTCCGGCAACAGGTGAGACACGCCAAACTAAGCCTGCCCCGGTGTGGCGCATGTGTGTCAGCAAGGCCGCAGCCAAGTCCTGGTCTCCATCGTCTTCACTTCCTGTGCTTCGTGAAGGCGCGGGCTTTCACGAATCACACTCGCGCATCTCGGAGCCAGTCTTGGATTAGCGAGGTGTGGCAGAGCTTGAAGCTCATGCGGATGGGGTTGACTATGCCGTCCATGAGGCCTGGCAGGAAAGCGGATGCCTCGGGTTGGGGCACTGACTTCGTGCCTGCTTGTGGAAGTAGCGCAGCAACCACCCGCACAGCTCTCGTTTCCAAGGAAGTCTTCGTGCCGCAGTGCTGGAAAAGCCGATGGTGCAAGCATTACAGCTTTTGCCAGGCAATCTGCACCAACACTGCAACACTCTATGCTGCTACGCTGTGGCTGCTTGTGGCCAACTTCGACCCTTCCTGAAAGCGTGAGAAGACTTCCCAGGCATCCGGCAGCATCCCTTACTTTCGAGGCCTTTCACTTTCTGAGTCAGACTTTGCATCGTAGTGACAGCGGGCTTGGTGTGGGCTTGGGCAAGACCACCACCACCACCTCGCAGCATTGTGCCATGTCCTCCGTGCTGGGCCAAGAACATATCATGCAATTCCACCACGCCAACGGCCAAATGAAATGCGAAGGTGTGATCCACCGCATCATGCCATGCGTCAAAGGTCAGCTCAGGCAGGCTTGCTGGAGTTCTGCATTTCATCGACAGTATCACCGAACCAAGAAGGTCCGCCGCCCCCATGCAAGACAGTGCTTCTCGATGGATGAGCCAAGCTCTCACGCTTGCAATTCCTGCTTTCTTATGTGCTGGAAGAAAAGGTTTGTCGGGGTCAACATGCCAGGAGTGCCAAAGCAACCTCAAAGCGAAAGGCCTTGGAAGTAGCCGTGAGACATGCTTTCTCGAATGGCACTGCGCAGTATGCAGCAGCAAACTAAATACTGTAGAAGGGAGCCTCAGATGCCTTGGAGCCATGAACTGAAGTGTTTCCTCCGTTGTCTGATCTACATGGTTCGGCTTGTGATGAGTAAGGGTAGCTTATGTTATATCATATCATCATATCCATTGACTATTGCGGGGATGCAGCAGGGAATGCTGGACAACCGGGCAGCTTGGCTCCGCGAGTTGGCCCCAAACCCCACACGCATAGGCCGCGTGCATCTGAAGACATCGCCGCTCTCCAGCAAAACCCCGCAAGCTGGAAGGTTTTTTGATGGCTAATTAGCGGCTGGCAGAGCGGGCAACGGACGCCAGTTCTTGCAGGACCCGAAGAGCAAGAGCTGCGTCGAAAAGACGCTGTGCCGGATCCTGAGTCAGTCTTCGAGAGCTACGAGTAGTGCAGATTACTGCAGCCAGGAGTAGCCTTCCTAGTCTCAGCCTCTGAAGGATCTGTCCATCTCGACACAAAGCCGGCAGATACTTGTAGAATAAGGTTGGACATCACGGGATGCGAGACGTGGTTTGCTGATTTATGCAGCTTGAACATGCTACGGCTATGATTTCATGAAGCTTTGTTTCAAGAGCTGTTGAACGGCTTGGCCTGCACTTTGCTTGAACTCGGCGCTGTTCGCATCAGCGGTGGCAGAGCCTGCTTCCATTTCCATACCACCGAAGGCAGCTGACTTGCGTCATTGGCCACATCGGAGCTGTTTGCTCCATGAAAGCCCGTGACCGACTTCAGACATCCTAAGACAACTTTCTCTTCTTGTCAAAGTTTTGTTTGCCAGTACCAGCAGCCGTGCGTAATATGAGCTGCCCTCGAATGCATTTTGAACATGCAGATGTGCAGGCTCTTAGAGCTGTACTTGCGCAGATAACGAGTTGTAGTGCAAGTGAATTGCACTGAGTGGTGTTTTTGCAAAATTGCATGACTGACTCAGCCCCTCGGCTTACTGCGAGCCTACAATAGGCGCGCAGTTGCATGGTTTTTACTGGCTCAATCGTCTGCGGCCAAGCTCGATGAGACCATGGCTCTCACAGCTGGCTCCAGCAGGCAAAAATGCAGAGTTATGGCAGCAACGGGTTAGACTGTGCCTCGCGACAACTGCCAACGGATGAGTTGAACATGAGCGGCCCGCAGTCGTTTTGATCTGTGTGCCCTAGGTCGAGTATGGTTCACACACATCTCAACCATGCTGGTATCACGCACTTGGCAAACGCAAGTTTTGGGGTCAGGCAAGGCTCAAGACCATCCCGAACGGGCAAGGTCTGCGCAGGCTTCCTCCTCAGTCGCCTGCTGCACAGCTTTCTTGTGGGCTTGGTGGTCATTTGCCGAGGCGGAGGTTGGTTGATGCCATGATTTCTGAAGAGTATCATGCCCTGCGCTCAGTATCGCCGGTCGACCATGGTGCTCATTTCAATGATTCGGTAACGGCCAGGGAATCCCCCCGTGAGAGCCAGACTTCCTCAGCCGCTTCAGCAAGTAGAGAACCTCTTCAAAGAGTGAGTTAGTTAAAGCTGCACAACTCCTCAGAAACCGGCGGTTGTCCATCACTTTGGCTCTGCCAGAGATACCGGCAAGAGTTCTCAAAAGCTTGGATGCAAAAATAGATATGGCTTTTCTGATGCATCGTCACATCCATTCCTATGACAGCTACGGCTGCTCCAACGCTTGGAATATTCCTTGGAGAGGAAACACAGTTAATCTGTGCGACCCACAGCCTGACGTGGTGCCTACAATCCCGCAGATGTGAAGCCTTTGTTTCTCAGCCTTGCACACTACGCTTTTGCAAAAGCTCGGTAGCAGATACTGTACCATGGACACAGATGGCAATCACTGAAGGCAGTGCACAAAGAATCTTCGCATGGTTGCCAACCTTATCTGCAAAGAACCTCGCATGCTTGAGAGAGAGTGCTTACCTTCCAGCGACCAAGGTTGACAACCCATGTAATGGTATCAAGGTGGGCGGGTGGACAAGGACTTCGGGATTCCGCAGCACCTGGCGCTACCATGTCAGGATCCAATGTTGGCAACATTGCAGCGCAGCATATCTGCCGAGCCATGGGCTTTGTTGAAGACTGGTACTAGTAGCATGCTAATCGAGTTTGCATGTTGAATTGCTTCAACGAAAGTTCGCGCGGTCATGTTGCAGCGTACGTGAGGCTTGAAGGGACGCTGCTGAGAGCATTGGAGATGGGTGTCCAGAAGGTACGCCAGCGCACGCACATGGCTTAGATTCCCCGCAATAGTGCGCAGGCCGCCGAGGTCTTCGGGAAGCATGTGGATGTCGACGCCGTTCACCGTGTCAATTGTGTCACGGAGATCGAGGCACATGTCTTGCATAGGGCAGGGGCAGAGGAGGAAACATGCTGCGAACAAGTGAGTTGAAGCAGAGGCTACAAGACTTGCAACCAAGTCTTGCAGCGGCCTGGCCCCCGGCGAAGGGATAATTTTCTCCCGTTTAAGTGGGAGGGCGCTTGAAATCGTAGTGAAGTCGTGATGTTAAGCGGCCTCCGGGCAGTATGCACATATCGCAAAAATGCCAGCGCTCTCTCTTGTCGATCGGACTATAGACGGTGGCTGGGCCAGTTGAGCGTTGTCACTTCAGTGGTTGTGTCCATCATCCTTAGGCCTGCCATAAGGGATATTTGCTGCCAACTGAGGATTAAATGTGCGCATTGGCCGATGTCTCAGATGATTTGGTCGCACAGTCAGTCAGTGTGTGTGTGTGTGTGTGTGTGTGTGTGTTCTCAGCGGTTCGGCAACGTGGCCCGAAACTGCGGAACGACACGAGAAGCTGCGAGGACGCCACAGGTCTTCTAGAAAAACACTGCAGGCGCCGTAACGTGACACACCCGAAACGGACACGTTTGGCTGCCATCGGCACCACTTCGAACTCAAGGCGACGAATTCTCACCACAAACGGTCCCTGTGCGGGAGACATGGCGGCCATGACCAGTTGCGATTTTGTGCTACTGCTTTTATTGTCAGGTTTTGGGGTGTCAAAATGTTGCTGGTAGCTGCCAGTGCCGCCGATCGGAAAACCGTAGAGCAGTGATTTTCTGGAATTAAGGTGCCCCATGGTACCCCGCGGCGTAAATCAGTCGACTAGGCCCCAGGCGGGAGGCCGAACCACCAAATCCAAATCAAAACACCAGGACACATCCCCGAAACCTGCAAGCGCATGCCCCGAAACCAAACGCTGACACACCAAATTCCAACCCCAAGCCGACGCAGAACCCGGCAAGAGGAAAAAACGCGAATCCAAAGCCCCCCCCCCCCCCCCGCAAACCCCCACCGTGCGCTTTTTGAACACTGCAGGCCCGATGCAAAATCGCCACGCGTTAGTAGATTGAGCGGACGCGACAAGTTGGCACGACGCGTTGCCGCGTGGAACATTGGCATGGCATGCCACGTTGGCAAGACTAACTCGACATAAGTTGCTCTATGTGGGCGCGGCGTGGCAGGGAATGGTGCCTGGCATGGTTCTGCTGAGGCTATCACGGCAACTCGGACATCATTGCTCACCTGTTGCACTTGATTGTGCAGCTGGTCGCATGCTCACCAGAAAACAAGCATCTTTCTGACATACACTAGCTAGATATTAACGAGTAACTAATAGTGGTGCATCGCGTGGCATGAGGCTCTTTTTCCTCGTCCTCCAGCTGTCGGCCTGGCCAAAGTTCACATCCTCTTGAGCTGGAAAGAGTTGTGCACTCTTGACGCAGCGGCAGCCAGGCCGATGCAGTGCTGCAGGTTCACTCGCGCATTGGACTCGATGTTTCAGCAGGATTCAGCAGGCAGCTTTGCCGGTACAGTAGCAGATGCAGCCGACTAGGCTCGGTCAACACAGCGAACCAGGGCATGCAAGTGGGCTCCCTCGGTGTTCCCTTGAACAAGGAGGCGCTACTGGCTCATAAAGTGAGCGAGGGGCATGTGCATGCGCGGTCACGAGTTGCGTGTCCAATTCGCCACCGACATCCAAGAAAAGCAGGTCCAAGCTCCGGGGGTGAACGCCAGAGCCTTGTCTTGTAGCCACCATTTTTCGGAATCTGCAGATCGGGGCGGCATTCACCGGCTTCGGGCAGTCTGCCGTGTGAATCTGTGACTTCGTGGCATGGCTGACGATAAAGGGGGATGAACTGGAGCAAGAGCTACCGCATTCTAGGAAGACAGTAGAAGTAGAAGTATGCTTTCTCACCGTCACCCTCACTCTTATCATCCTCACCCCATCCTCACCCTCGCCTCACTCTCGCCCGCACACTTCCAAACCGTAATTCCGCCCTCACCGTACAAGTCCCTGCCTCGCATTTGCCTCGGGTGCCTAGAGTCCGGACTTGCTTTCGAGGTGACTGTGCCCTTTTCGTCAGCTGGAGGCTTGGACTGTTACTGCACTTAAAAGCTTAGCTGGCCTGAATTTCATGAGGCACCAGTGCGACGTTCTCAGGCACATGCAACAAGGGGAGAGGAGTGAGGACGAGTACATGTTCTCGTCTCACCAAGTTTAAGAGACGAAGGAAAACATTGGTGAGACAGGCACAGACAGTGTGACAACAGAGAGTGCGAGCATTTTGACTTTGTAATTGTGAGTCACCGCGTACTTTTCTGTGGGTGCTCATGCTTTGGATGTAGTACCGTAAATGATTTGTGCTGCCACTTCTGTGGTATCAGCCTGCGTTCCCTACTTGGGGTTGGTAGATTTTAGTCGTGCGCGATCTAACCCCCAAGACCCCCCAAAGCCTCCAGAACCCCGATGGCAATACAGCTTAGTCCCTGCAGTGCCCACCCAGAAAATCCGGAGGGGTACCTAGTCCTTGGGGTGCCCAGCCCCACGGTCGCGCCTTCGCATCCCTCCCACCCAAGAACCTCTCCCGGGTGGCCAGGTCATGGATTTGGGGTGTCTTTCACGTGTAGGGCAAAAGAGAGCTTTGGCCCCCTAGGCATGGCTCTCTCAGCACCAAGCATGCGAAAACGATCGAACAGGCCGTAACCGTAACCTGCACCAAAACCCCATGAGCGCCAATCCCCGAAGCATCCTGCACAGAGCATACGCGGAGGGCAAACACCAAGACTTGCTTCTTATATCATAAGAAACGGTCGCATGCAATTTCCGGCCCCCTAACTTGAGCTCCTTTTGGTGTGCGGATGTTCGAAGTACTCAACTTTGGATTGGATTGCCATTGGGCTCAAGGTTTTGCTGTGAGGTTTTCGATCTGCTCTCCCGCAGGCGGAGACCTCCACGCGCACCTAACTCAATTTTGCTTCTGAAGCACAGTCGAATCTGCTTTCTCGCCGCGACCTTTCCTGCATCCCGAGAAATGTTTTCCCACTGAAACTGCGCTGGCCTTGTCGTTGCCTCTTCGTGGCTTGTCTGCTTCCCAGCTTTGAGATCTAGCGTCCTTGAGCACTCTGGGGACACAGTTTAGGGCTTAGGCTGGGTTTTAAATTTTAGGGTTTAGGGCAAGTAGAGTTGGTTATCAGAGCGGAGAACACTCTGCCAGTTTTCGGAAAGATCGACACAGCGTTCCGAGAAACTCGAAGCCGCACTTTGAATGTTGAACCCCCTGCGGCGAGGAGACACCCTGCTTTTACGACCACAAAAGGTGTTTTTTCTGATGTTCCCAGCCCCGTTGTCGTCGCCTCTACTGTTGTTTCCATTGTAAAGTAGCGTAAGTAGCTCAATTGTGGAATAAACTGATGCAAAAAGTGATGCGTAGTAATGCAGTTTTACATATATGCACAAACACATCCATATGTATATGTATGTATGTTTGTATGTTTCTATGTTGTAATGTTGACCCCTGATTAATAACCCCCCCCCCCCCCGCCCCCCCCCCCTCAAGGTTGTCAAGGTCGCAGGCCCCCCACAGGATCACAGACCCCCAAATAATCCCGTGAAGCCAAATTGCAGTAAACACTGGTGCTGGTAGTAGTAGTAGTAGTAGTAGTAGTAGTAGTAGTAGTAGTAGTAGTAGTAGTAGTAGTAGTAGTCGTAGTTGCAGCAGTAGTAGCACTGGCAGAGCAGTAGCAGTAGCAGTAGCAGTAGCAGTAGGAGTAGGAGTAGGAGTAGGAGGAGTCGTCGTCGTAGTAGTAGTATTTCATAGTATTCAGTAGTATTCAGTAGTATTTAGTAGCTTGAAAGAGGACAAGACGCCCTTTAAATGTAGTCTTGCCCCCTTTAAAAGTAGTCTTCGGAAGCACTTTTTGAAATTTTAGATCCCCAGACGGTGTTGCCTTTAATCGTGGGGGGTTTTCTGCAAAAAACGATCCTTATTTGGGTGCTGCCTTTAAAGTAGTACAGATTGGGGCCGGAGCCGCCCGCAGGCCGCCTGTAATCGTAGGGGGATTATTAATCCTAGGTCAACATTATGTATACAAAGGGATGTGTGATGTGTATATGTATAATATCATTCAGTAGCATTGTTATCATCATAGTCCCCGCAGTTGCAGCTTAGCGGGGGCTGGTGACTGGGAGGATACTCTGGTATTCTCGTCTATGCTGGAAGGGCAGGTCGAGGGGAGGGCGAGAAGTATGGCTTCTTGAAAACACTCAAAGTCACGCCGTGTCCGGGTCGTTACAACGGATCTCGATCTCCGCGAAAGGCAGGCATAGCAACTGCAGCGTTCGCCAAGGCTAATGGAAGTCCTGGTTCCGGACAGGGAATGACCGGCACTGGAACAGACGATGCTTCAGCACAGGAGCAGCATGATGCCCTTGTCTGTCCATGGGAGGTGTGCCCCTCGTTGTAGAGGTCATCACAGTACAGGTCTACGTGGTCTAGTGTATGTCGTTTCGTGTAGGACACCAGTGGGCGGCGTCTGAAGTGGTCTGCTTCCGAGGCATTTGCTACACTCAATGCTCTATTGAGGGGTATCGAGGGACAGAGCGGGCACGGCATGCTCACTTACAGGACGGTCCACCCTGTTTCAGGTGAAAGACGCTGCCAGCGGGGAGGATCGGCACAGACTCGTTCTGATCCGTGGTACGGTCCCGGAGTCTCGGACAGGGCGAACTCCAAGACAATGCCGCTTCAGTCTTACAGAGCTCGCAGAGCTCAGATACCACAGCCAGGACGATTAGTGCTCGGGGTCGAGATCCCAGGTACGCATCGGAGGTGGTTGGCATGTCCTGAACTGGGAAGAGATTGGCAGTCAAAGCAACGGGCTGCCCGTTTCAACCGGCACCAGCATAACATGCTTATGGCCTCGGTTCTCGAGTAGAACTAAGGCTGAGCCCATGCTCGCCCAGCGGAACCTGCTGCGTAAGTCATCCAGGAGGCACTGCTGTCAGTAAGGTGTTGAGGTGATCCCTGGTCACTCTTTACAGAGGCTGCAACATCTGCGTTGCGTCCATATGCTGAAGCATATTGTCACGGGTCAGACGTTGGGTAGGTCTGAACTGCACTGCAGAATATGTTTGGCCGACCGAAACCCCAAGCCTTTGCACCAACCCGGCGACTCTGTCTGCTGGGCTGGTGGCAAACGGTCCCGTCCTGTCCTATTATCAGAGGTCCAGGAGAACGACATCCATTTGCACACGGAGCACCCTCCAGGTTCTGGTGTTGGCTTGTTGACTTTGCAGTTGTTGTTGGCCGTCCCTTTCAGAGGCACATGCCCGGGTATCGGTTCGCCTATGGTGCCGGGCTTTCGTCGGACAAGAAAGGGCGAGCAGTGTTTTGCTTTCGTGATGTTCCCGCAAGGTGCTTACACCATCGGCACGCAGCCTGGAACCACCGTGCAAAGCACCGATCCTGCTCGACTTGCAAAAGAGGCCTGGCACATGCTGATTTACCAGCACTAGTCACTAATGATTGCCAGCCACGAAAACGGGTGAGTACATTACTGGAGCTGCGGGTGCTAAAGAAGGAGATGCTTGTCTTCTCGGGTTTTACAGGTGAGCCGAGGAAGGCCCGGTGCCACGGTGCAGTGCCTGCGAGTTGCTTGGGACATCTTGGGACCGTCCGTTGACCAGGCTGCGCCCAAGGTACGGCTTCTATCGTGTGCTGAGACCTCGCTCAGCACTCGGCCCCACTTGTCAGAGGCCGGGTAGACCTCGGAAGGGCACCACGGTTCGAGAGCAACGTGCTGCAATCTGGCCGGATCCTACCACCGATGGGGACACCGACGAGCACATACCTCCTGAGCATGCCGGTGAAGGCTCAACTGATATTAAAGGCTGCGTGTTCCGCAAGCTTTAGCCCAGCCGTCTTGACAGGTTACCTTGGACCTGATGACGGGAGCACGTACCCGCTTGGACCTCACAATGAGATTCTCGGTCCCTCGAACCGGACCTTGACAGAGGATGCCCATGTGCAACTCAGGAACGGGCGATCATGCTTGCCCGCTTCGAGCGGTCCTGGGGTGTATGGCCTTGTGTTGTGAAACGAGTATCTCGTGACTCTGTAAGCAGTGTGCCCTACGCCCTTGGCCTGTGCCGGATGCCAGGAGGTAAGTTCGGTGCCGCAAGCACCAGCAGGCTCGTTAGAGTGTCGGAGCCGACTTCTGGAGTTCGGATCGTGCGCACCAGTCACTACCGCTACAGCCGCTACAGTTGCCGTGTAACTGTAAGGCTCCAGGGCGCGACCAAGCTCGGCGCGATCTTCAAGAGAGACCTGGAGTGCTGTGGCTCAGGCCAGTCGAACCTGGGCTGTTGGTCCTCCGCCGTAAATGCAGTGCAAGACTGGTGGTGGAAATCCAGGCATTCATTGCATTCACGCTCGCACCGCGGCACCCTCGCGCGATTGTCATGCGTCGACATGCCGTGAAAGACTGGCCACCCGCTGATTCAAGCACTCCTGATGTGTCTCTCCCTCCAGCCGCTGCTGCTGCTGCTGCTGCTGTGCCGGTATTCTTGATACTGCTTCGTACGGGCAGGTTGGAGGGTGCTATCTACAGCCCAGCAAGACGGGAGACTTCGCAATCTAACCGCTCGCGTGAGAGCCACCTCGGAGCTGTTTCCGAGTTCCGTGTTAAGCGTGCCCGCAAGCAACCGCTTATGCAGTCACATAGAACATTGTCTAAGGCCAGAGTTTGGGATATTTTGGGATTGAGTGTTTGAGTTTCCGGTGCAGTCATGCCTCCAGGCAAACAGCAGCAGGGGCGAAAGGGAGGGGCAAAAGAAGCACGAAGGAAGTACAAGTGTTCTAACCGTGCGACCCGCACGCTTCTTCGTGAAATCGTAATGTATCACAGGAACTAGTTTCTAAAGCGGATTTTCGGGATTTCGTTTTTGTTGGCAAAGGCCAGATTTGTGAGCTCGGATGGGGCTTGGCGCTGTGTTGGAGATCAGGGGGAAGGTTGCGGGCGGTGAGAGGTGAAGTGAGAGGGGAGGGGAGGACAGGGGAGGCGGAGTTTAGCAAAGGGGAAGGGCGGAGGGCATAAAGGGGGCGACAGGGCTCCATTTGGGGCGGCCGAAAACACTTCGGCCTCGGGCCTTGGTGGCCTTGGAGGTCCAGGAGTGCACTGTGCATCGCGCCGGGCATATGAGGGAAGCAAGGCACTGGTGCAGTCTCCAGATGGCTTCCACGTGCTAACAGCACTCGCACAACCCTGGCCACACAATTTGTGCATCAGGTGGCAGAGAATTCACCGGCCTGACGGCCCTGCGTTTCATGGCCTGCGCCAATGTGTCACGATCTTGGAGCTCGGAGCCAAGCCAAAGAGCGACGAAGTCCAGCTTGGTGAAGAGGAGTGCGAGCACCGCTCTGCTAATTGCAGCCGCAAAAAGTTCAAGCCGAGTGGTAGCACACGATGGCACCACGGACTGCTGCCCAGCAAGGATGAGAATCGCACACGAAATCAGGATTTCATTTCGTGTCAAGCTTCAACTCATTGGCATGCACAGAGTTGGCACTAGCCCCTCTGACAAAGAAGGATCGGCGTCACCGTGGAGTTGTCGTGTTGTTTGCTACAGCTGAACAGGCACGGCGAAGGACAGCTGGAGGTAGAGCCCTCGAAGAACCCCCTCAGGAGTAACTCGATACCAGCTGACTAGTGCACTCCTGGGCCGTGACCCACGAGTGATCTTGCCTAGCAGCTCCATGGCTACATAAATGCAGTGCAGTTGGCCGGAGCCATGGTTGAACAACCGTCACGACAGAATTCGTCCGCCACACGGATTTTGGAAGAGAATTGGCATGGAACTCCCAGGAGATGCAACTTTTTTCGCTCGAAATTCTCGAGGTCGTGCAGATGGTAGTCGGGGTGCCAATCCCCGGCCGGTCTCCTTCGGTTAGCCCATGCTTCGCTCTCAAGATTTGCGTTCTAAACCTGTGAACCATGCTCTGATAGCGGAGAAGCGTTCCGTCTTCAGGCACGGCATCTTCCGGAGAAGAGACTTTGCCTCAGAGCTCTCGGAGTCTTGGAGCATGTTGAGACAAGTCACACATGCCAACATGGAGGCCAGGAAAGGCGGAGCCCTCCAAGAAGGTGGAAAGAGTTGTGCATGCCTTCGGCACAGACGTGTCTGCGCGCTCGTGCTGCATGCCTGCTATACCCGACCCAACCTGTGGTTGCGTGGCAGCATCCGAGCCCCCCTCCGGCCTCTCATGGCTGTGTGTACGGTCTGAAGGAAGCAGCGAAGAAGCCAGGCAGAAGCCCAAGATTCGAAAAACCGGAAGTTTGTTCCACTGGCACGGCATAGCAGAAAGACGACCTGACTGAATCAGGTTCCAAGCCAGCCAAGGCAACTCAGTTGTCACGAGGTGCGGATTGGTTGAGCAGACCATCAGCAGCCTTTTGCAGGCAACTGCCAAGCAGAAGCAGCTTCCGAAGAAGGACACGTTGAATGGAAGCACCCAGTCATTGAAGACTGCTGCAGACGTTAGTTATTCTGGTAAGATTGAGAAGCGAGGCATAAGTAGATGCCACGGGACTTTCTTTTAAGACTGCCATCGTGTGCCAGCAAAATCGAACCCGTCCGCCGGTACCAAATATTCTCAAGGTTTCGTGAAATGGTAACCTTTCTGAGTGAATCCAGCAGGTACCTTTGTCCAAAGATATTAACCCTAGGCGCTAAAGGAGTCAATACCCAAGACGAAAACCCTAAGGATTGAATCCAGCAGGACCCCCTTTCCGAAGACGAAAACGCTAAGGAGTAAGTCACGCAGGAACCTTAGGTCAAAGACGAAAACCCTAAGGACTAAACCTTAAAGAGTGAATACCCAAGCCGAAAAACAACCTTTTATTCCTAAACACGAAAACCCTGAGGAGTAAATCGCGCAGGAGCCTTTGGCCAAAGACGAAAACCCTAAGTGTCTAGCTGTCCGGGCCTGTCCGGGCTTGTCGGGCTTTCCGGGCTGGTATCCGGTTGTCCGGTTTGGGGCTGTCCGGGTGTCCGGGCCTCCGCCCCTAACCTGTCCGGGCCGGTTGGGTGTCTGGGTGTCTGCGGGCTGTCCGGGCCACCTTTTCCTCAAAAACCCCCCCAAGGTCCGGCCCGTCCGGGCCTGTCCGGGCCACCTTTTCCCGAAGACGGCAAGCCCAAGGAGTGAATCCAACAGGAAACTTGAACCCAAGACGATAAGATAAGCCCGAAGGAGTGAGTGCCCAAGATGAAAACCCTAAGGAGTGAATTCAAGCGTTTTTTTATCAAAGCCGAACACGGTAAGGAGTAAACCGCACAGGAACCATCGGCCGAAAACGAAAACCCTAAGGAGTAAACCCCAAGGAGTGAACACCCAAGACGAAAACGAGAACCCTAAGGGAAAAAAAACCCAAGGAGTGAACACCCAAGACGATAACCTTTGGGAGTGCATCCAGCAGAAACCTTTGTCCAAAGATATTAGCCCTAGGCGCTAAAGGAGTCAATACCCAAGACGAAAACCCTAAGGATTGAATCCAGCAGGACCCCCTTTCCGAAGACGAAAACGCTAAGGAGTAAGTCACGCAGGAACCTTAGGTCAAAGACGAAAACCCTAAGGACTAAACCTTATGGCTCAAGCCATTTTGGCTCAAGGCTCCGAGGTTCGCTCCGAAGGGTCGCGCGAGGTGGTGTAGAGACTGTGCCATTCTACTGTTGCTGGCGGCTGGGTGAAGCTCTGAGGGGGGCTGCTGGGCTTTCACTGCGTAGTTCGGGTACACGATTCACGGCTTGGGGTTCGGGGACCTGCAGTTCCTTGAGGAGGCTCCGAAGCGCATCGGGTACAGGATTCCGGACTTCGTCTTCGTAAACCGCCTTGGTAGCTGGTGCTGGCGTGTCGGGTAGTGCCAGGATTGTCTCGTCACTGGGCAGAACCATGGCTCCTGGAGTTCGTCTGGTCATGCCAGGGATTCCGGATGGGCCCGATGAGGATCTCGATCTTGACAAGAAGGCGCGTGGGGCCGAGGACAGCCATGACAGTCCCTCCAAGAAGTCCAAAGGGGACCCGGGAGCACTCACCATGGAATCGCTCAGGACTTTGTTGCAGGAGCAATCGCAGTCCCTCCTTCATGCACAGCAAATGCAGATGGCCACGAGCTTCCGGGAGTTTGAGGATCGGCAAGCGGCGAAGATCGATAAGATCGAAGCTCAGGTTCAGAGTCAGGGGGCAAAATCCGATCGACTTGAGGAACAGGTTCGGGAACTACAAGATCGCCTGACCCGTGTTGAGTCGCGACCACCGGTTACCACACAGGGGCCTGACCGCAAGAACACTTTGGTATTCGGTGGGTGGGCTAATAGCACACGCAGGGCAATTTTACTCCAGCAGTTGGAACAGGGGCTTCGTGACCTAGGGTTGTGGCACCACCTGGACACTCCCCCCTTTTGCACCGGGGCTAGAAGGTCGGTTGCTCTATGTACTTTCTCTCGCAGGGAAGGCGAAGGTGCTGATGAACCTCGAGGGCGGATGCTTCAGGTGCTGCAGGCTGTCAACATGGCGAAGGCCATCATCACAGGCTCGGAGCGGAACCTTTGGTGCAGCTTCAGCAAAACGCCTGAAGAGCGAGGACGTGCCTCACTTGCTTCGGTCGTCAGAAAAGTCATTCTCCGATTCGCTCCGGCAAGAATTGGTGACTTGGACATTGAATATACAACCGGAAGAACGTGGATTCGTGAAGACCAATTGACAGGAATGCTCGCACCTCCGCCGGACGTGAAGGGGGCCAAAGTCATCACCACCAGAGCTGGTCAGGGGTGGATTGACGAGCGCACTCTCTCGAGATGGGCTGAGGTCGATGTACAAGAAGTCCAGCGACTTGTGGAAGAGCATAAGTTCTGAGAGGATGAGCTGGAAGCTGACTCATTGCATGCACCCACGAGCAGTGTTCAGGGTCCTCCAGCTTCGGGTCCGGTCTTACAAACCTCACAAAGGACTGATGTTGAGAGTTCGGGCAAGATCTCCGTTTGGGGCTGGAATGTTGGAGGAGCTGAGCTCAGCAGTCTGCCAAAGGCAGTCAGGGATGCCTCAGACCGTGCCTTGGAAAAGTCTGACATTATCATGCTTCAGGAAGTGCCGAGGGAGAAACAGGGCTGGAACTATCAAGAGCTGGCAGGGAGAAGAATTGTGTCACACAGAGCAGACAACCAGTGGCGTGGTACAGGTATTTGGTACGACACGAGGGCTTGGTGCATAGTCCGCAAAATACACACAGACAGGGGTACATGGTTCAAACTCAAGCACCTTGAACATCAACTCGAACTATGGGCAGGCACTGCCCACTTTTCTCCAGGGTGTACGGTGTCTGTCTTCGAAGAGGAGGTCCACAATCACTTCAAAGGGTTACCTCAGTCTTGCTCACGAGTTGTCTTCCAGGGGGATGTGAATACGCCTTTTGGGTGGCAAAGGGACAAAGACGGCACGTGTGAAGTGGCGAAGGAGGGCAAGGGGCACATTCTGCATCAGGTGCTGGTAGAACGAGGGTTGCTCATGGTCCCGCACAGTACCGATCAGCTCCGAACGCCTACCAGCAGACCAAGACAGGCCGACAGACAGGGTCAGTGCATTGACATTATGGCTGTTAAACACCTACGTGTCGCTGGACTCCAAGTGTATGTCGACTCTTACCTTCGGATTGGCACAGATCATGAATTGTGTGATTTAATTTTTGTGATTGATACCAAACGAGTACACCATCGGCATGACACACAGCCTCGTGTATGGACTGGTGGTATTTCAACAGTAGAGGGTATGGATCAAGACATCATTGAAGACCTAGCACGTCGGTGCACGAAACCGGCGCCCGGGCATGGGTACAAAGACCCTCCAGAGGTCAAACAGGCTTTCAAGGCAGCGAAGAAATCGGGGTCCCCAGAGCAGTGGAAGCAAGCTCTCAAAGCCAGGAGGGAGTCCAGACGCAAATGGGAGTGGGACAGGCTGGTCAGGGCTAGTCAAGGGGAGTGGCACAGCTTTAAGGCGCTCAAGCCAAAGCGGCACGTGGGCTGGGACATTGCTTTTGCTGAGGCTCAGGTGGGTGATCCTCATGAAGCCGTCCATGAACATCTTGCAGCAGTGTATCAGGGTGAGGAATCATCCATTCAACCAGAACAGTGGAGAGGAGAGGTATCGGCTTTCACACTGCAAGAGCTCAGGGAAGGGCTCAGTCACCTCAAGAAAGGCAAGGCAGTGGGAACAGACCTTACATCTTCGGAGCTATTGCTTGGGATAGCCTCGGTCCCCGGTGGAGAGACTCATCTATTGGAGTGGTATAACAGGATACTTGTCACTGGCAACATCCCTGAACGATGGAACGAACCAGTCCTCGTTATGCTCCCCAAGCTGAAGATCCCCAAACGAGCACGAGACTTACGTCCAATTGCTATGGGTTCAGCAGTCTCGAAACTCTTTAGCAGGCTGCTTTTGAACCGAGCTCTCCCTCACATCGTCCCACAGTCCTACGTCCAGTGTTCGGGTCCAGGCCGACAGACGTCAGACTACCTATTCTCGGTGATACGGTTATTTGACCTTGCTCGCGAATGGGGGCATCCGGTTGCGATCTTTAAACTAGATCTTGAAAAAGCCTTCGACAGTTTGGAGAGGGATGTTTTACTCGAGAAGCTTGAGGCACGCATCGGACCAGGGCCGGAAATGATCTGCTGGAGGGGTCTCTTGCGGCGGACTCGAGGCATTCTCCAGACCCCATGGGGAAGTTCCGTGGTTCCAATGAATCGCGGAATAAAGCAGGGAGCAATAGAGAGCCCGACTATCTTCGCTTACATTGCTGAACTAGCACTCCTTGAAACTGTCGTCAAATACGAGTGGAGAAGCATGTCCCCCCTATTCCCAGATCTTTCGCCAGAAGAAATGCTCTACATGGACGACGGCATGTTGTGGAATGGGACCACCGCTAATGTCCAACGGCGGGCACAACAGCTGGCGATTGAATTTGCAGCATACGGACTGAGGCTGAACCCAGGGAAATGCCAATTGCACGTCACACAGAACATGCCGGGTGAGCACAGCATTGTGATTGATGGTATCAGCATTGGGGCGGTCCCGCAGTTGGAAGTCATGGGTCTTACTTACACTGCGCGTGGGAATGTCCACATACGAGCTGGTGTCACCAGCCATCAGCAGGGCTCGTTCGAAGTTTTGGGAGCTTGGGCACATTTTCAGGGCCAAAGGGTTCATGAAGGACAGGGCCAGGGTTATGGAAAGGGTCATCGGGGCCACGGCGCTCTGGTTCATTTGCAACGTCCCACCTGACCGTGCCACCATGTCTGCACTGAACTCTGCACAGCTACAGTTGATGGTCTGGCTACTTAGGTTCGCTAAAGCAGAGCATGAAACTTGGGATGACTTCCGGAAGCGAGCCTTCAGGGGTGCCCGCTCGGCGCTCCACTCAGCAGGGCTGGAGAGGTG